TTTTTAAATATTAAAATAAATTTTAAAGAGTATTTAAATATATAGTGGGTGTTATATAACTAGGGAAAATTGTAGAGAGAATTGGAAAGTAGAGAAAGACAATAGAATTTGTGTCAATTAACTTCTATATCTCATCCGTGTAAGACCTTTTATTTATAGGTTTACAGTGATAAGAAGACATTAACAACTCATAAATTACAAGCCCATAACTATGGTATTTAGTGTATAGGTTACATAGAATTAGAAAGGGTGAATGCTAAGAGGTATGGTGGTCATCCACCAACTCATGCATTTACAACACTCCTTCTTAGATATCCACCATACAATGACATAGTTGCCTCATTAAAAACCTTTCTCAGAAAACCCTATGGGACAAAACCTAAGCGAAGGGAAAATGAGTGCACCATTATTCTGGATCATTGATATGGTTTTGGACGCGCTTATGCTGCCTCATTAAATCCTTAATAGGAAAAACCCGGTGGGACAAAAACCTAGTCAAGGGGAAAATAGTACAGTGCATATGTCCTATTTGAAGAAAATTGTTGAATCCTCCCCCTGATGAATTAATCCCCCTGATGACGACAAACTTGAATTATTTGAAGATACAACACAAATGATATTGATATCTCATTTTTCTCCTGTAGAGCAAGCTTTGGTAATGCTTTGTATAAAAATTTCTTCAATATCATCATTGGAGGATGTATGTGTGCCATTCATTTGAATCCCTATTGAGGTTAGAGTAATACCAAAAATATCTAGACTATTTACAAATCCTTTCACATTAACAATTCTTAAGATAACATCATATTCGATAATATCATCAAAATAATAATATAAGCAAACTCATACGTTACCGTTACGAGGACAAGAGTATAAAATTGCATGATGTAATAAGCTATTCATATAAATTTGTGTATATTATGTCTTCAAGAGACCTAAATATTCTAATAATTTCTTTAAAAATTTGAATATGTTGCAACGATATTGAACCTTGATCTCGAACTCATAATTCAATCAAAGTACTCACTGAGGCAATTAGATCACTTTCATTTCATGATATTTGAATACATACATTGAGTTTCGGGCTCCTTAACTTTTTTTAGTAATTTTCTTTCAATAATTTATATAATGTATGACATTTTACATCTCTCAGAATTTATTCCTATATATTCTTCAAAAGATCGCTTCTTGCGATATGCTTAACTTCATAATCTTTTTAGATCTTTATATAAATGCAAGTCTCCATAAATATGCAGTGAACATGCTTCGTAAGAAGAAACATGGATGCATCTACATAATATACTAAGAGAATATCATAAAAGTTCCATGTCTTTACATGGATACATTTTGTCATATCCAATAATTTTATTTCACTGCATCACAAACACCAATTTGTAACCTATACAATTTCATATCTTTTGGTGTTTGAACTGTAGGTCCGTTTCTTCCACGTTATTCAATTTTATTGGACTGCCTCTTCCAGTTTGGCCAATCTTTCTTTACATTGTCAATAATCATAATAAAACGCAGATCAATATCATCATAGCCCTTCATAACTTTAGAACGTACTGTATATAAATAGTATAATTGATGATCATCAATTTATAAACCCACATTTCTCTTTATGCATGCATAAGATATAAACATTTTCATAGCCACTGGGTACCCATGCCTCTTCAAGGGCTTTCATTGTTTTCTAGTGGACTTATGTGTTCTTATAAGACTATATCTCTTCCGAGATAAAATATATAGGAAATATGGATATTTCATATAGTATTATATTAATTGGGCTGCATGGACCTTTTAATATAGTCTCAACTTCAACAGAGCTAATTGTGGACTACTTAGGCACACAACTAGATAAATCATTTGCCACCACTTTAGATTGTCTAATTATGACCTCAACATTTTGATGTGATTTGTCACGTCAGCTGTGTTTTTAAATGCTTCTAGAATTTGACTTGCAATCTTCTAGATTGTGGTTTCTTTTCTACTTTATTTTCACATTATGTTGCACAAAATTTTGATGAAACAATAATGAAATCATTTCATAACAATTTACATCGTTCTTTAGGAACAATCTTTCCTCCCCCTAACAACAGGAAATTAGTCTCATCAAAATAATGTTTTGATTAGAGTGGTAAGTATTGTCCTCCATATAAATAATATAAAGATAATAACGTGAAGCAAAATCTTCATGTTCGCTCAATATATAGTGTAACATAAATACCATGATTTCCAAAACTTTTTAATCAAAAATAAAATTTTCGCATCATAAATTATTACAGATCAAAGAACTTCTGGTTCTTATCAGAAAATGAGTTCATATGAGGCAAATTATGATTAATATGCTTCTAGCACGAGACCATAAGTATCGGTCTTGTTTATTCATAATTTCAACATTAACTCTATTGTGTGTATGTATGAATCTATGTAAGTTTCTTCTGGAACTAAGTAATGTCAAACATTGTAAGTATATAATTTGACCTATCAATAGCTTTTAGTCATGTTTGTAGAACCTAATAAGATATTTACCAAAATAAATGGTAGTTAAACTCAAAAATAATTTCAACTCAAATAGTTCTGTGTATATTGTTTCACTAGCAATAAATATCATAATTCTTGGAGGCTTTGTCATACAAGATCCTCCCTTTATACTATTTAACTTAAAAAATATTTCACTTGCGGGATAATGTGTAAGTGACATTTGTTTCAAGAAATGATATAGAGCTTACATTTGCTTAAGGGAATTATGTAATGCTTATATTTCTTTAGGAAATAATAGATCCAATCATATGAAATTCGTAGATGCATAATAAAGACTTTTTATTTACCAAACAATTGAAACACATCATATTTTTCATATTGCTAATATTGGAGCACCTAGAACAAGAAAGGATAAATTTATTCCTTTATGCTCTTCCACATTACAATCCTACTTTGATCTCTATTTTCTTTTTTATTCATATATATATATATATATATATATATATATATATATAAGAATATCAGGACTTTATCATGAGAAAAAATAAAAAAACATAAAACCCAACCAAAAAAAAAAAAAAAAAAAAAAAAAAAAAAAATCATGAACACTTAGTACAATACACGTACGTACATATTTTTCATGTTTAATACACGTGTTTTTTAACAAAATTTTCAATAATACATACAAAATTCAAGTATTTTACACATAAAATTATATTAAAATATTATATGGTGGCCGAACTTTTTAGATCCAGATTCAAATTTAAAAATAAAAAATAAAAATCTTCCAAATAGGTGCTATTAGGCGGTTCCTATTTTTTATTTAATTTTTAAAAATAAATAAATCAATCAATAGTATAGCAACACGGCTATACCCCTTAATTTCTATTTATGGAGTATAGCCGAGCGGCTAGACCTGTAATGTGAGAAACTGTAAAAAAATATATATAAATATATATATAATAATTATTCATACTACATATTAATTATTTATTAATATGAATTTTTCTTAGTTAAATATTTTTTGTGAAGGCTTATATATTATTAAATCTTAAGCCTAGTATGAGATTATCCATTTGGTTGAAAGATGACACCATTCTTGTTTTCCACGTGTAGAGACTTAGAATTGGTTTTAATCAAATCATTATTGCCATGCCACCTTGCGTGCTAGTAATAAGTGGTGTTGTGATATCATTGGGCTGACTCACATTATTTCCTTATCTTCTATCTTATCACATTATCTCACATTATTTCACACACATTATTTGGAGTTTTTGTGAAGTATTTATTATTCATGGAACATGAGAACTTCAGTGACGTATAGGATATCCGAATGATAAATGTACCAAACGGGGACATAGGGCACTGAGACCGATAGCGGTCACGTATTGGGTACAATTTGTGATGGATAACCAAGATATGAAGTGATGATGTGATATGGTTTGGATTGTGTATCTTTTTATTATATTTTTCTGGATAGTGTAAAATGACATTGCTTGACTGACATATTACATAATCTACTCAATGAGCGGTGGTTTGCTCATCCCTCACCTATTTTGTTTTTCAGATCAATTAGTGGGCAAGACAAAGCTGAAACCAGAGAAGTTGGATTAGTTTAGAGTGATAAACTTTTATTTATATCTTTTATACTTGTAAGATCATTATAATTTTATTTATAAATATAATGGTATCGTAAGTTAACCAAATTTTCAGTTTTTTTATTTATTTCTTTCGATTCACGCACCTTGATTCAAGAATATTCTTTATTCTCGGATCGGATCATGACATGTAAAATTTCTATTTATAGCTTATAGCCGTGCGGCTCTATTGTTTAAATTTCAACCATTGCCGTGCGGCTATACTGGTAATATATTGTATATACAGAGTACAGCCGAGCGGCTATACTTTTATAATTTCTATTTGTGGGTTCTTGCCATGTGGCTATCCTTTAAAATATTCTATGTTTTCACCAAAGGAAACAATAATTAAAGTAATTAAAAAAGACTAAGATATTACTTAATTCCATATACTAAATAACAGAAACTGGGCAAAAACAAAAGTAAAGAAACTAATTTTATACTTTTAACGAGTATAGCCGTGCGGATATACTTTTAAAATATTTAGAGCGTCCACCAGCGCGACTACACCATTAAAATATTGTATTTAACAAGTATAGTCGGGCGGCTATATCGTTATAATTTCTATTTATGGCGTATAGCAAGGCGGCTAAACTTGTAAAATTTCTATTTATAGAGTATATAGCCCCACGGCAATACTGTATCCAGCAGAAGCACATTGAAACAGTATCACTTTCGTGGGAACTCGCTTCAGTATCATATATGCACTCTGCAGCTTCAATCCCCCATCTTCAAGTCTTCTAACATTCTTCTAGACCATAACTTCAGTGGAAAAATAGGGAAGGATGGATTATTAAATTATCTACATAAAGCTGATTGACATACAACATACATCCCTATGAAACAAACTAAAAAAAGTGAACAGGTTCCAACTTTCTAAAATCTCACCGCCGAATTTCTATTGTAATGTTCAGATGAACGCTTATCAATCAAATGAACTTGCAAGTCTGGTGGTTTGCTTAAAGAAGTGTCATCGGGGGCAACAAAAAGTGAATTACGGCACTCATGTCCCTGTACAGGATCTGTTCTTGATTGCCGCTTTCCCTTATACGTTAGCAACACTTTGCTTCCTGACATTTAAGCTTTCAAAAAGAAATCTTGCTGCAATTCCGAACACTTGGACCGCATTATTCACATGAAATTTGTTTTTGTTCCACTATGTTCAGTCTCATTTCAACACAGAAAAACCTGCATATGTTAAGGAAGAATATCCAATTACTAAACAGCAAGTCATGACTCATATAATTAATACAGTTACGAGTGGCAACACTCTGAAATAGTGACTGAAAAGTACTTGTGTCAAAGTGCACTGAACATGTGTCAAAGTGTTAAAAAGCCCTTGCTAGAGTGTCAAGCTAAAATAATTTTGATAGATATGATTTGTCTGATGGTCTGATCTTATCCCTTCTGAGGTTATAGGAATTTTTCATAGGAAGAACCTACAAACCGCATAAGGGGATTCTCAAATTTTTTTTAACATTTATCTCATTATTAACTTAACCACCAGAAATGTCATTTACCCTTAAAAACCCCACCTAAACTTCCCCTTAAATCAAAATTCAGCTTCTCTTGAAATACAGGAACTCCATAAAACAGTCAAGTTACATGATGGGCAAAAGATTAATCCATGTGCGGTAAAATCTTGGATATCCAAGAGGATCAAATCTATCAAAAGCTTCCTGTCATCAACTCTTACAGCAAAGGATTTCTACATAGATTCTGTGATTGTTATTATAGATCATCTTGCAAGTATAGCAAGAGAAAATCAATAGCCCAAGTTTCAGTTGCCCTATCGGAGTGGCTATTAATGTCATGTACGAGAACTCATGCAGTTTTAGAGCTGGTAAGGAGGGCATCTGTTAAAACTGATTTGGAGACTCTATAATCTTTCTGACTGATATCATAAATTCTCAATTCTTTTAGTAGCTAGTTTTATGGGGCAAAGTGTTAGACACACATAAGAGCAACACAACCATGTAGCGGGAATGAAAATATTAATATGGATGGTAGGAGTGACTTCAAAAGGACAATTAAAAATCAATACAATGGAAAAACACTGGGAGTGAACCCTGTTAGTGATAAGTTAACAGAAGTTAATGTGATAGGAACATGTACAACATAGACCACCAAATGTACCTATAACCGAAGGAAGACTAGTTAAGATAAATAAGGGCATGTACGATGATGAGGCTTAGCTATCAACATCCCTGAGGAAAGGACAATCACTCATTATGTGAGACACCTGGCCAGGCTTGAGGCATGCATGGTTCTCCCAATACGATTGGCCTTTTTATTTTCTGCCTGCAATGTAGGCGAAATCATATAGATCTCTAGATAATGATCCACTGTCAATCACTCTTGGTCTTCACCTCTTAAGTTCCCAGATTTTCTTCTCACTTGGTAGTTGGAATTTAGATCGCTATTTTCTGTTCACAAATACTATGACTGTCCCCCATAGTGCATTTCTATTATCTGTGCTATGTCCACAAACTCAAAACAAGAAGTCAACTTCAGAGTTGAGACTTTTATAATGATGCTTCAAGAACTTCAGGTGTTGTGCCACGACACGAAAACCTAAAGTCATTATGCTACTTCCCTTCCCTACATGAAAAATCACGTAATGCTCTCCTAAACTGCAATCTCAACATCCAACATTAGGCTCTCAATATAATCTAAACAAAATTCAAGAGCACATTTTCTACTGATTTACGACAATTGACAGGTGCCCTCATACAACAATTGTCAAGAGCTTGTTTAAACAAATTAAACCCCTACATTATCTAGCGTTTCAATGGAAATTCAAAATTGAAAAATTGAAAAAGCTATGAACTATTGAATGCTAAAATTTACAATGAATGAACAGAGGCAACAGACCTTGACGACAAGGGGAGAGAGAGAACGCGTTTGGATGCTAGAGAGCGAGAACTGAAAAGTCGGCCTAGGCGGTGGCTAGGCGGGCGCTAGGCGGCTAGGCGGTGGCTAGGCGGGATCCTAGGCGGGTTGGGTCTTTTTTCGGTGCCGAACCCGGAGGACGAAGCAGTGACTGGGAAAGAGAGTTCCGTCATCTGCGAGTGCAAGCTTCGTGTTCGTACGAATATATTTAGAGAGTATAGCCGGTCGGCTGTACTTTTAAAATATTCGAATGTAGTTAGAAAGTATAGCCGTGCGGTATCATTTTGGCTTTGTCCAGGGCACGTGCAGCATCTGCTCTATGAGAGCTCTTTGCTTTAAACTCAAGGAAGGATGCAAAATGCAGAAAGGACGCTCTGATACCACTTGACGCAGTTCAAGTATGAACTCGCAGAGCTTGTTACTATTTTTTTCCTTGTGGATTTCCTTACTACTCTTCACCTTGTTTCTTACTTGTTTTGCACTTTAAAGTATGCTGATAATCTCGTTGGCTAAAAATGTATGTGAATAATTTCACAATCTACTGTCTACTAGATCTCTGCTGATATGCTCTACGTTTTACTTGTTTGGCAGATTGGGGACCGAAGGTTGATGTTGTTGTTTTTTGTTTTCTTGACCTTGCTTCAAATTATGAACCCCCAGATTCACTTGCAGAGTGGCTTGAAGCTGGTGAACAGCCTGTCCATATTGGATTTGATAGCCTTGTGAGTTTGTTGCAGCTTTCTCTATTCATGTTTAATATTCTTTTCCCTGTTCTATCCCAGAGTAGCTCTGTTTGTCCTTACCCTAAAAAAATTACTTGTTCCTTCCCAATTAAAACAATCAACCAAAGCCACAGTCTCCAAAGAGTGACCTGACCACCTTCATGTTGGTCCCCAACGAACAGGTTGTGGAGGTCTATTCATGACAGATGACAAATCGACCCTTTGGTTGTTCAATATCTAATTTGACTCAGGCATGTCTAACACATGCAGAGTATACCTCTGAATTGCATAGTACCATTCTTTGGGGACCAGCCATTTTGGGGGAAAGCGGCTATACTTTCAAAAAATTCTATTTAAAGAGTACAGCCGCTCGGCTATACTCTTGAAATATCCTTTTTAAAATTTTCTTTTTTATTCATTAAATAATATCTTAGCCTTGTTTAAATATTTTCATTAGTGATTAAGTTTTAATTATTATTTCTTTAGTGAATAATTAGTATTAAATATTTCAATAAAAATCCTAGAAATTTAGTTTTTGTACCCAAAATATTTGAAACTTAAATCGAAGTCACAACGTGATTAGATAATATTAACTGCTTGTTGGACTTTGATTAAAATACATGAACTTGAGTCCCACATTGGAAAAGAAGAAAAAGTATATACTCTTTACTAGGCTTATGGTTAGGGTTCGAGGCTTGAGTAAGGTTTGGGAACAATTTCGGAAACTAGAGTTTTTGGTTTGAGAATTGGATGTACCCAAACTAATTTTGTGAAAACAAAAATTTAAAACAAAGTCCACAAAAAAAAATAAAAAAAATAAAAAAAAATTACTATTTGTTAATTAATTTATGAAAAGAGTAAAATATTTAAATATTCACTAAAGAAATAATAATTAAACATAATTACCAATTAAAGTAATTAAAGAAAGGCTATGACATTACTTAATCACATATATTAAACTAAAAAAGTTGGCCAAAAAATAAAAATAAAGAAACTAATTTTATATGTCTAAAATTAAAATAATAATAATAATAATATATTTTTTTAAAGGCCTGAAAACCTCTCTCGACGAAATTTCGTAGGCACAGATATATCCTAGTGAAAATTCTCTGCCCCGACGAAATTTCGTCTGTAGAGGTAATTTCGTCAGGGCAAGTCTAATCCTGCAAAGTTTCGCTAGGATAGATTTGTGCCGACGAAATTTTGTCTGGAGAGGTTCTATTTAAAAATAAATATAAATTTAGTATCTTTTAGGTCCAACAAATTTTCTTTTTATTAATTAAATAATATCTTAGACTTATTTAATTATGTTCTAATTATTATTTCTTTAGTGAATAACTAAATACTTTAATTAACTTAATAAATGGTAATTATTATTTTTATTTAATCAAATGTTTAAATACTAATTATTCACTAAGTAAATAGTAATTAAAACATAACTACTAAATAAAGTAATTAAAAAAGAGAAATCAAGATTAGGCTATTCAAAACGTACAGCCGTGCGGCTGTCCTTTTAAAATATTCTATTTAACTAGTATAGCCGTGCGGCTGTCCTTTTAAAAAATTCTATTAAACGATTACAGCCGCTGAAATATCCTTTTTAAAATTTTCTTTTTTATTCATTAAATAATATCTTAGCCTTGTTTAAATACTTTCATTAATGATGATGATTATTATTTCTTTAGTGAATAATTAGTATTAAATATTTCAATGAAAATCCTAGAAATTTGGTTTTAGTACCCAAAATATTTTAGTATTCCAAAAATGGATTTTAGTCTTGAAACTTAAATCCAAGTCACAACGTGATTCGATAATATCAACTGCTTGTTGGAGTTTGATTGAAATACATGAACTTAAGTCCCACATTGGAAAAGAAGAGAAAGTATCTATTCCTTAGTAGGCTTATGGTTAGGGTTCGAGGCTTGAGAAAGGTTCAGGAACAATTTCGGAAACTAGGGTTCTTGGTTTGAGACTTGGATGTACCCAAACTAATTTTGTGAAAACGAAAATTTAAAACGAAGTTCACAAAAAGAATATAGAACTCCAACATATTTAAATGTTAAATAGTATAGCCGTGCGGCTATACATAGTGCCCTTGGGTGGAAGATGCTGATTCATTTGTTCTACGTTAAGCAGAAAAGAGGAAAATTTTTGCACTGAGCAATAGCAGGTAGATATTGTGAGACTGAAAATAAAAAGAGGAAATAATACACAACATTCCATTCATCGTTGAAATGTTGGAAATAAACAACATTCACAAGGATATAATAACAAAAGCAATATTAAAAAGGATACAATTTTTGGTGGTAAAGGGTGGAATGTTCAGACTGATATAGGTCATTGATAGGTTTAAGTCCTTCAAGATACAAAAATAATCGTACATTTTTGAAACAACGGTAAGTAGTAACTACTACTCCATTAAAGACGGAGCTCAAAGCTTCTATATCCATAACCATAACATCACACTAGTGTCTGGTTGAACTAATAGATAAACTGAGACTCCAGCAGCCATGTAGCAGAAGCTCCTGTATAGTGACACTTCTATAATGATTGATAGTGACTGGAACAAAAGCAAGCCTGTAAGGCTATAGAACTAGAACTTGGTGTTGAAGTATTGTACCATGGGGGGGACTTGGTTTATGGCTTGAAGGAGATGCTTCCAGGAAAATAAAAGAATCCTTCAATTTTCTGCCGGCTGCCCATTCCATGCCTGCTTCAAACAGTATGAACAGCAATACAATGAGCTGCAGCTTCCCTGACCTGCAAACAGAAATCAATTAGCCTCCTCAAAGTCAAAGCTTCATTAGAACAGATGTCATTTAATTGCTGTGAAAGTCAGAAACGTTTCATTCTTTCAGCTTGATTCTCTCTCACCTTGTCTTGTGATGCCACTCTGCAGTCGGATTCTTCTCCGAGCATCTCCCATGGGTGCAGTGAAGACATGAATGGATATTGGTTGATATGGAGGTTGTGTGTTCTTCAATTTGTAGGATAGATATACTAGTTGAAGAAGTCTACTAATCTGAGAAATATCTCTAGTTTGTGCTGATAGAGGAAGAGGAAGTAACGTCTCCAAAAAAACTGCTTCTGAGAAAAGACGTCTTTAGTTTGTCTGGATTCGTTGCATTCGGAGAAGGGTAGAGAGTTCTGGATGGCATTTCAACCATTTGCATTTGCTGGTCTTTCTTTGTACCAACAAGTTACACACGCATAAACAATTTTTGACAAATTGCCCAAAACCATTGCTGTCTGTCACAGACTAGCAACTTGTGTCTTTTGTCTTGGACATAAATGTCCAAAACTACGAAGAAGTTATTAGAAAAATCTTCGAATTATTTGTAGGAGAATATCACTGTCTGTAATAATGTGAGTTGGAGACACATTCTTACAAGGGCTCATGGTTTATAAGTCTTCCTTGATATTCTCCAATAAATAAAATGTTGTGGTTCATTAACCATATTGGAGTGTTTTTCCAATAGCTAATGCAGAATATATTTTCCATGAAGTACTTCAGTGTTTGTCTCACTGTTGTACTCCACCATCCCCATCATAAACCCTTCCCAATGACTTTGGTAGGTTGGAGTCATTGAAAAGAGTATATGATGATGTTTTTGTTATTCAAGAAGATTGTGGGAAAAGAGCCGCAGTCTCCGGATACGGAGATTGCAACTCATTGCATCCAATAGAGTTATTGGCATGCAGAAGATTTCCCTGTTCTGGCTGCAATATTCTTGAAAGCCATGTGTAATCGTCTAGCTTAAGTTGTAAGAATGATTCCGGATCTTCTTCTGGTTGAGAATAAACCTGGATTAAGAATCACAAGCAAGCGTTAAGTTTCGTTGTACTTCTTGTGCTCTATATTAAGAAGTTCATATATAAAAATTTCAAAGAGCATGTTCATTCTCACCTCTGACGTCCTTTCATCTTTAGTTTGATTCTTGAAATTAGAGGCGGTGTTGCTAACTGGTTTACTGTCATAAGTGGTTGTAATATTATTCTTATATGGAAGAGAAGAATCATTATTCCCAATTGGAGATGGCACAGAAGCATTTCCCGGCTCAGGTGGCTCAGGTGGAGGAAAAGGTAAATCCAGATATTCTCCTGGCTGAGCACTTAGCTGTCAGATTAAGAATCACAAACAAGCAAGCGTTAAGTTTTGAAATACTTATTGTGCTCCCTATTAACAATTTTACATCAGAAATGTTCAAAAATTAGTTTCATTCTCACCTCTTGAATCATATCATCACAATCAGATGAAACACAGCCACCAGGTTCACCAGCATCATGATTGCCACTTCCAGGCAGATCATGTTCTGGCTCTTTGTCTGCCAGATGTCTATCGGCCTCCGGAATCATATTATTTTCAGGAGCTTGATCATCTTCAGAATTTGAGGCCACGTAGCCACCAATACCAGGATCAGCTGATTCATCACAGATTGAAGCATCCTTCAGCTTCTTATTATCAGACTCATAATGAGCTGACTTATTCTTCATGCGGCAGAGAACAAAGTCACTCAGCTGATTGGGAATAGAACCCGGTTCAGTTTGAATGAGATAATACTCCTGCATGACCCAGTCGGTCTTCGTCGACTTAGACACACGACCTTCATGGAATGTCAAGGTCCTCTTTTTGCAAGTGACCGATTTGGAGAGTTGTTGAGACTTGATTTCTCGTGGCTTGCCTGTGATTTTCCAGAATCCCTTCTTTGTGGCCCTGTTGTAACGAAGACTGTTGATGGATTTGTAATGAGGTCGGCTGAAGGAAAACCACATCCTAGGTTGATATGGAGAGTCTGGGAACAAGAGCTCTGCAAAACGCAACACAAAACAAGATATTGAAACCAACCCAATTCAAGTGTTGAAGTAATGAATAACAGAATTCAACTAAATTACAGAACAAGATTATGTATACATAGAAATTTTAAATTGGAGATGAGGAAATGGGTAGTCAAGAAAAAGTGAGATAGATAAATGGATTATGTCAGGTACGTCCAAAGTACATAACAACAGTTCAACACTTCAAAAGAACAATTGATCAAGATTATGCATGCATAAAAATCATATCTTGGAAATGAGAAAATGGGTAGTGAAGCAAAAGTGAGATAGATTAATGGATTACCAGCTAAATCCGAAGGCTCGTACTTGCAGACATCGATTTCAGGGATGATGTGGCAGGCTTGGGAGGCCTTACCCCGCATCATCTGCTTCAAGAAACGAAGAAAAAGTGAGATAGATTCATTATCAGATAAATTCCAAGGCTTGTAATCGATTTCAGGCATGGTTTGGGAGCCCTGGCCCTCCATCTTCTTCCTCAAAAGGTTCACCATTTCCTCCTCAGGGGGATGGAATCTGAATCCACGCAGCAAGGGAAGCAACCATTCTTCTGTTGTTGTGCTTCTCATCCCTCCTGCAACTGTTTTGGAAAATTGGAATAAGATTATCAAATGTTTTGGCTTCAGAGAAGATGCAGCAGAGTAGTGAAGTTGTATTTATAAACAAACTCACCAACCCACAAGCCACAGCACTGTCACTCTGGTTTTTGACTTGTGTTTCATCCCAAAAGTCCTGAGCTTCCCAACCAAGGTCTCTTCCTGGCCATACATGGCTTGATGAGTCATATGTGTGGATCCCACCCACTTCCTATCATCATCTTGCCTTTTTTTTTTCCTTTTTCTTTTTCGTCCTACAACAAAATACCCCTCTCGTAAGTTCAGCTTTTAGGATTCTTTATCAACGATTTGCGGGGAATATAATATACTTTAGAAATTGAATATCTTCTTTTTTTATTTGTTGGGTGAAACAGATGTAATTTAGTCAGCTATGAGCAGATGCAATTTAGCCTGCTTCAGTGCTGGCATGTACTACGAATATAAAGAAGAGAAAGTAATATGCGAAATTCCATTCCACAATAAAAAGGTTGGGATACGCAATACAATACTCACAAAAATACAATTGAAAAGAAAAATGGATACAATATTTGGTGGTAGATGGGTGTAATGATAACAGTAGAAGAATATGAAGAAAATGAAGAAGAAAGAAGAAGAAGAAGAATAAAGAAGAAATCTGATGACTGTATATTGATTCTCGTTAACCATGATTACAATGTAATAGTACTTATATAGCAAACTAACATACTCTCTTAACAACTAACAAACTCTCTTAACAATCTAACACTCTCTTAACAACCAGACACGTGCCATATGGTTATATGGTTATCATGTAATACTAGTCTAATACATAGACTGAGATTCCAGCAGTCATGTAGCAGCTCCTAGACTGCACCACTTCCAGAATAGAAACTGCAGAACAAAAGATTTTCCAAGGCTAGAACTACAACTTGGTTGCTGTAAGGCTAGATCTACGACTTCAGGGAGATGCTTCGGGGAAAATGAAAGAATGAACCCTTCCAATTCATCCCAGCTGCGCCTTCTATGCCTATTTCACAAGGCCTCTTTTGACATTCTTCTGTTTCCTCATAGTAGTAATAATCCTAGTTAGCAATAACTTTATTCAAGAACTTTGTGGGAAAAGAGTCATCAACTCCAAACTGGAGATTGAAGCTCATTGCATTCAATATAGTTATTGTCATGCAAAACATCTCCCACTTCTGTGTTCATTAGTGGCTGCAGTGTGTAATCCTGTAGCTGCAGTGTGTAATCCTGTAGCTGAGGTGCATGAAAGATTAATTCCAGATTCTCTTCTTGTTGAGGATATTCCTGTATTAAGAATCATAAACAAGCAACCGGTTAAGTTTGGATATCTCCATGATAAGAAGTTCATATAATAAAACGTTAAAAGAGTATGCTCATTCTCACCTCTGAAATCCTTTCATATGTAGTTTGATTTTCAAAATTAGCAATGGTGTTTCTAACTTGTCCATTGCCATCATATGTAGATTGCCATTGATCGTTATAGACATTGGCATGTGGGACACTTCCCAGTTCTGTGTATATTGGTGACTGCAGTGTGGAGGAGCAGTAATCATGTGGCTGAGGTGGATGAAAGCATGGATCCAGGTTTTTTTCTGGCTGAGCACATTGCTGCTGGATTAAGAATAAAAAACAAGCTAGCGTAAGTTAATGAATACTTCTTGTGCTCCATATTAGGAAGTTGGTATTAGAAATGCTCAAAAAGCATGTTTATTCTCACCTCTCCAGCTTGATTTTCAAAACCAGAGGCATCAATATACATAAAACCTTCCAGTTCTGTATATGTTGGATCCAAGTTTCTTTCTTGCTGAGCATATAGCTGGATTAAGAAACATGTAGGTCAGGTCAATTTTTAGCCCAATACTAAGTTCATATCAGAAATATTCAAAAAGCAAGTTTATTCTCACCTCTCGCGACATATCATCTGCGACTTCATTTTCGAAATCAGACATGGTGAAGCCATGCGGTTCACCTTCATCACAGGTTGAAATATCATTGTTATCAGTAACATGATACTCATTATCTCCATATGGAGATTGCATTTCATTACAATCTTCATTAATGTCATTGGCTTGCAGAACATCTCCCAGCTCTATGCTTGCTGGTGATTGCAGTGTGGAGGGGCTGTGATCCTGTGACTAAATGAAAGGGTGATGCATTAAGTTTCGACAAACTTGTGTTCCCTAACAAAAATGTTTAAAGTATAGAACATGCTCATTCTCACCTCTGGAGTCACAACAGCTGCAACTTGATCTTCACAATTAGACAAATTGCAGTTGCTAGGTTCACCCTCAGCACAGATTGAAGTATCCTTCTTATCTGGTTTTTTCTTCAAGCGACAGAGAACAAAATCCCTCTGCATAAGTTGGAGACCCCGTATCAAAATCAAAAATACCTTCCTACATTAAGCTATCAACAACCAGCAATTGCAATTCTTATAAGATCACACACATCAAAAGCATTACACAGCACAACCAAACAGAACCTGTTTGTGCATTTAAAACTCCTCCACTATATTAAACATGAAACACTAATCCAATAGACAAAACTTGATGCTGCATAATCCAAGCACAGCACAAAGTAACGAACTTTGTAAATAATCAAAAGGAACCCATAAATAATCAAGCATGGACGAAAGAGAATGACCTTTGCCAGCTTAGGATTAGAATTGGCTTCATCTTCAATGAGATAATACTCGTGCATGACCCAGTTGGTCTTCTTCGATTTAGGCACACGACCTTCATAGAAGGTCAAGGTCCTCTTCCTCCCAATGACAAATTTGGACCCTCGAGCCCTGATCACACGTTCCTTGCCTGTGATTTTCCAGTAGCCTTTCCGCGTGGCCCTGTTGGAGCGATTGCTGTTGCTGTATTTGTAATCCTTTAGGCTGAAGAAGAACCACTCCATATCATGATATGGAGAGTCTGGCTCTGTGAACAAGAGCCCTGCAAATGCAACACAAAGCAAAATATCAAAATTTGAAACCAACCCAAGAACTAAAAACAGAACAAGATTACTTTTTTCCTTGGGTTTTTGTATTTACATAACAATTGAAACCAACCCGGTTCTTCAATTATTGAAACAGAACAAGATTGATTGTATATACATAATCATGCATCATTAATGAGAAATGGGTAGTTAAGAAACTAAGAGTGAGATAGATTAAGGGATTATTACCAGGTAAATCCCAAGGCTCGTGCTTGCAGAAAGCAATTTCAGGGATGATGTGGTTAACTTTAAAATCTTTATCCTGTTTCTTCTTCCTCAAGTAGTGGTTCACCAGTTCCTCTTCAGTGGGATGGAATCTGAACCCTACAGGCACTGAAACCCCTCCTGTTGTTTTTCTGTTGCACTTGCTGCCCATCTCTCTCTCTCTCTCTCTCTCTCAAAGCAAGCAAGAAGAAGCTGCAATGGCATCAGCGGAGTGAAGTTGTATTTAATAAACAAACTCACTCACACTCTCAGTACTGTTTGATCCCCAACCCCTCCCAGGGGATTTATAAGTCCTCAACTTCCTAAACAAGTTCTGGCTGACGTGCACGCTTTTTTCTTTTTTTTATTTGTTGGTGTTTTCCATCGACAACCCCTCTCGGAAGTTTAGCTTTTAGAATACTTTACATTTCTGTGCTAGAGTAAGTTTCATGTCCTTTTCCTACATTGAATTCCACGTCAAAGAACAAACAAAGTAAGAATAGTATTATTCGACCCAAAAAAAGAAGTGAGAATAGTATTACTACATTGAATAGATGACACATTGTTACATGTAGACAATATTTGAAGAACAAATTTAAAAGGCAATTACAATTTGCATTTTTACGAATTATTACGCTATTAGTCTCGTCGTGAATTCAACCGTCAAATTAACTTTATTTTCTTCGTATGACACTCTTTTTGGCCCATTTTTATAATCGTCAAGATTTTACGTAGACAAATAATAACTTAAAAAGAAATTCTTAACCTTCTAGATATGCAGTGAGATGAAAAATGACTTATGTGACATCAATATGGTATGCTTAAAAAGAAATTAAAATCATGTTGAACATGGATCAATTCTTAACCTTCGACATTCATTTGCCACTCTTAACCATATTTATTTAACTCTATCTAGCTGCAGTAAACAAATGGAGTATTCAAGGTTCACCCAAAAACCTTTATACAATTCCAGATTCTTCTAAATATAAAGACCCCTACTTTAATTATAGATTCTATCTAAATAACAAAAAAAAAAAAAAAAAAAAAAAAAAAAAAAAAAAGAAAGAAAGATTTAAACAATCTTAGCACCGCCAACTGATAAAGGTTTTGATTTTAATATGTGATTCTTTAGGGTATTTAGATAATATAAAAAAAAATATTCTGAGTTTGTGATTGGAGAAATGGTGATATCCAATAGGCTTTTGAAACTTTGCCCCCAAGTAGTTTTCATGAACTTGTTCACCAAGTAGTCCTCTTCGACCCCACCTTCGATTCTCTTCACCAAAAGTACCATCATTCTGTTATATGTTCCCCACTTGCCAATTGCCATTGTACCTCTTCTAGTAAATCAGATTATTCTCTAACGTTTAATAAAGATATGGACGACAGAATTGGTGACATCCAAAAGTTACGATGAATTTTCACCTGCGAATGTGTAATTTTATAAATGGTGTGATTCTGCACTTAAAGACGGTTGACAATAAAATCCTTTTGTGGCACCCTTCCATTTCCTTTTGTGGTTTGGGCCCTTGTTCAGTGTTTCTCTGATCCTTCTTTGCAGTAATTCTTTTGTGGTTTGGGCCCTTGTTATGTGTTTATATGATCCTTCTTTGAAGTAATGCACATTATGCCCTGATGGAAAATGATATATTTGAAGAAGGATCCTAGATCATCTTATTGTCTTATCTATCATTGTCTTGTAATCCAAAGGTTATAATATGTTTTGAAGTTTTCTTGTTACAACCCAGAGGAAAATGAGTGAAGATTTTTATGCACCATTTGGAATTGAAGTTATGGATTGCCAAAATAAGAAGAGAACATTGTGGGTACAAATATAAGGAACATTGTGGCATACACAATACGATACTCACAAGGATAGTATTGAAAAGAAAAATGGATACAACATTTGTTTTAATACTAATACATATGCATAGACTGAGATTCCAGGAGTCATGTAGAGCAGCTCTTACAATGCGCCAATTCCGGAATAGCAACTGCAGAACAAAAGCATTGCTCTAAGGCTAGAACTACAACTTGGTGCGAATATTATTCCATAGAGGACTTCGATCTACGGCTTCAGGGGAAAATTAAAGAATGAACCCTCCCAATTCATCCCAGCTGCCCCTTCTATGCCTATTTCACAAGGCCTTATTTGATATTCTTCTCTGTTTGCATGGAAGTAATAATTCTAGTTAACAATAACTTTATTCAAGAACTTTCTGGGATTAAAACTCAATGCATTCAATGTAGTTACAGTCATGCAAAACATTTCCCACTTACGTGTTCGTTAGCGACTGCGATGTGTAATCCGCTAGCTGAGATGCAGATAAGATTGATCTCAGATTCTCTTTTGGCTGAGGACATTCCTACATTAAGAACTATAAACAAGTAAGCGGTTAAGTTTGGATAAATCCATAATAAGAAGTTTATATAACAAAACGTTCAAAGGGTATGCTCATTCTACCTCCGAAATCCTTTCATCTGTAGATTGCTTTTCAAAATTAGCATATGTAGATTGCCATTCATTATTATAGACATCAACATGAGGGACACTTCCCAGTTCGCTGTATATTGGTGACGGCAGTGTGAAAGAGTGGTAATCCTGTGCCTGCTGAATACAGGGCTGCTGGATTGAGAATCACAAACAAGCAAGCGTAAGTTCATGTATGCTTTAAGCACCTCTACTTTCCAGCTTCTGACATTGTTAACAATATTTTAGAGTTTCTCAGAGAGAGAGGTTCTAAATAAAAAATTAACACTTGAAATTTAATGTAAAAGAGAAATGTTAATTACCTTCTCCTCTTCTCTTCTCTATTTGTATTCTTTTTATGAGTTAAAAGAAGGCTCCATCTGCCATGGTGGAAAACAGCGCTGAGAAATAGTCTGGGGGGTCCCGTCTCCTCTGCATTTCTCCTGAGTTCTTCTGATAGAAAATAGTAGCGTTAATAAGGGCGTCGTGGCGTCTCGTGGTGTGTGGTCCTTTTGAATGATTAGGGGGGTTTAGGGCCCACATTTACATAGAGAGAGCCCCGACCTCTAGCAAGTAGTGCTTGCTAGCCTTTTGCTGCTACTTGCGGACTTGGAACTCCTTTACGTTTTTGGGTTTGAATTTGGTGTTTAAATATTTTTTTTATGCAATTGGTCTAGCCCAATAGAAAAGGGTCTTGATTTAAAGATCAGAAATCTCAAGTTTGAATTCTCACGGCTCATAGTTGTGTGTGTGAGATAAATCTCCCTCTCTTGTAGTTTAAACTATCGCTTACACTAAAAAAAAGAAAACTCTTTTATAAAAAATAAAAATAATTATCCATAATACTATTAAATTTTAGATTCCATCTATAGATAACCCCAGAAAAAAGATTTAAACAATATTAGCACCGCCAACTGATAAAGGTTTTGATTTAATATGTGATTCTTTAGGGTATTTAGATAATATAAAAAAATATTCTGAGTTTGTGATTGGAGAAATGGTGATATCCAATAGGCTTTTGAAACTTTGCCCCCAAGTAGTTTTTCATGAACTTGTTCACCAAGTAATCCTCTTCGACCCCACCTTCGATTCTCTTCACCAAAAGTACCATCGTTCACATTTATTTTTTCTTCTCTCTGTTATATGTTCCCCACTTGCCAATTGCCATTGTACCTCGTCTAGATTCTCTAACGTTTAATAAAGATATGGACGACAGAATTGGTGACATCCAAAAGTTACGATGAATTTCACCTGCTAATGTGTAATTTTATAAGTGGGCGATTCTACACCATTATAGACCACATAATTAATTACATCGCAATCGCGACGGTTGACAATAAAATCAAACCGCCTCTATGAAGCCTTACATTTTTTCCTTATGCACCAATTTTCAATGGTAGTGCACAGGGGCGGAGCTATTCATAGGCCTGAGATGGCCTAGGCCCCCTCACCATATTCTCACCTCTTTGACTATATAAAGAGTGTAGTATAGATTGCACAAAAAAATCCCATAGTTTTAAGCTTGTGCCCCCCCAAATATCAAACTCTACCTCCGCCACTGGTAGTGCAGCTCTTATTCAAACCATTTGGACCACAGAAAAGGATGGGGCATAACCCTTTCCAAGAATTCTATAGTGAGGAACTTATATATGGTCCTTAAGTGAGGTCATATCTCTTAACCGTTGGATCAAATTGGTTAGCACAATCCAACGGTGAAGATATAAGACATCACTTAAGAGCCATATATAAGTTCCTCACTATAGAATGACTCACCAGCTACCAAGCCAAGATTTTGAGACGGGTTGTGGGCCTTTTATCCAGTACAATAAGATACCAATGACCCAATTAGAGCCCACATATAACTTTTATTTGGCTTTCTATTTTCTTTTGCTTTGTGATTGAGATTCTATAGTGAGGGCCTTATATATGGTTCTTATGTGAGATTCTATCTTTTAACCGTTCGATCAGGCTAACTAATTTGATCTAATGGCTAACCAATTTGATCCAATGATTAAGAGATAGGGTCTCACCTAAGGGTCATATATAAGGCCCTCACTATAGAATTCTTATTGTGACTGGATGGGCACGAGTCATTCTATAGTAAGGGTTTTTTCTTCTACCGTCGTCTTTTTTTTGTCGTCTTTTTCATTTTTTGTAGTAGTGTGCCAAAATAAGAAGAGAACATTGTGGGTACAAATATAAGGAACATTGTGGCATAGACAATACGATACTCACAAGGATAGTATTGAAAAGAAAAATGGATACAATATTTGTTTTAATACAAATACATATGATTAGACTGAGATTCCAGCAGTCATGTAGAGCAGCTCTTACAATGCGCCAATTCCGGAATAGCAACCGCAGAACAAAAGCATTGCTCTAAGGCTAGAACTACAACTTGGTGCGAATATTATTCCATAGAGGACTTCGATCTACGGCTTCAGGGGAAAATTAAAGAATGAACCCTCCCAATTCATCCCAGCTGCCCCTTCTATGCCTATTTCACAAGGCCTCATTTGATATTCTTCTCTGTTTGCATGGAAGTAATAATTCTAGTTAACAATAACTTTATTCAAGAACTTTCTGGGATTAAAACTCAATGCATTCAATGTAGTTATAGTCATGCAAAACATTTCCCACTTACGTGTTCATTAGCGACTGCGATGTGTAATCCGCTAGCTGAGATGCAGATAAGATTGATCTCAGATTCTCTTTTGGCTGAGGACATTCCTATATTAAGAATTATAAACAAGTAAGCAGTTAAGTTTGGATAAATCCATAATAAGAAGTTTATATAACAAAACGTTCATAGAGTATGCTCATTCTACCTCCGAAATCCTTTCATCTGTAGTTTGATTTTCAAAATTAGCATATGCAGATTGCCATTCATTATTATAGACATCATCATGAGGGACACTTCCCAGTTCGCTGTATATTGGTGACGGCAGAGTGAAAGAGTGGTAATCCTCCTGTGCCTGCTGAATACATGGCTGCTGGATTAAGAATCACAAACAAGCAAGCGTAAGTTAATTTGTACTTCCTTGTACTCCATACTAAGAAGTTAGTATCATAAATGCCAAGAAGTATGTTTGGGTTCACCTCTAGAACCATATTATTTGCAGTTTGATTTCCAAAATCAGAGGCATTAATATACATAAAATCTTCTAGATTCCTGAATGTTGGTGACTGAGGCATGATCATATAGCTGTTTTTATCTTGCTGAGCATATAGCTGGATTAAGAACATGTAGATCAAGTTTCGAGATAATATTAAGTTCATATCAAAACATCAAAAAGCATGTTTATACTAACCTCTTGAGACATATCATATGCGACTTCATCACATGTTGAAAAATCATTCTTATGGGTAACTGAGTAGTCATTATCTCCAAATGGTGATTGCATATCATTACAATCTTCATTGAAACCATTAACTTGCAGAACATCTCCCAGCTCTATGTATGCTGGTGATTGCAGTGTGGAGGGGCTGTGATCCTGTGACTAAAGTGCACAAAAGAGTGAAGCATTAAAATCCGCAAAATTCTTGTGTTTCATAAGAAAAATGTTCAAAAGAAAAAGAGCAAGCTCATTCTCACCTCTGGAGTCACATCATCTGCAGCTTGATCTTCACAATTAGAGCAATTGTAGCTACTAGGTTCACCTTCAGCGAAGACTGAAGTATCCTTCTTGTCGGGGTTTTTCTTCATTCGATAGAGAACAAAATCCCTCTGCATAAGTTGGAGACCCCATATCAAAATCATTAGTACCTTCCCACATTGAGCTATCAACTACCATCAATTTCAATTATTGTAAGAGCGCACACATCAAAATCATTACACAACCAAACACAACCTGATTGTGCATTTAAAACTCCACCACTATGATAAACATGAAACACTAATCCAATAGACAAAACTTGATGCTGCATAATCCAAACACAGCACCAAGTAACAAACTTTGTAAATAATCAAGCATTGATGAAAGAGAATGACCTCTGCCAGCTGAGGATCAGGACTGGCTTCACTTTCAAAGAGATTATATTCGTGCATGACCCAGTTGGTCTTCTTCGATTTCGGCACACCACGTTCATAGAAGGTCATGGTCCTCTTTGTCCCAATGACAGCATTGGACCCTCGAGCCCTGATCATACGTTCCTTCCCAGTGATTTTCCAGGAGCCGTGCGGTGTGGCCCTGTTGGAGCGATTGCTGTTCATATACTTGTAATCCCTTCGGCTGAAGAAGAACCACTCCATATCATGATATGGAGAGTCTTGCTCTGTGAACAAGAGCCCTGCATATGCAACACAAAGCAAAATATCAAAATTTGAAACCAACCCAAATCATGTCTTGAAGTACCAAGAACTACAAACAGAACAAGATAGCTTGAGGGATTATTACCAGGTATTTCCCAAGGGTCGTACTTGCAGATATCAATCTCGGGGATGTGGTTAACGTTAAAATCCCTGTCCTGTCTCTTGTTCTTCAAATAATAGTCCACTAATTCCTCTTCAGTGGGATGGAATCTGAACCCTAGTGGCACTGGATCCCCTTTTGTTGTTTTTCTGTAGCACTTGCTTCCCATCTCTGTCTCTCTCTGTCTGTAGATATAATAAGCAATCAAGAAGAAGCTGCAATGGCATCAGCAGAGTGAAGTTGTATTTTATAGACAAACTCAGTCACACTGTCACTACTGTTTGATCATCCAATCTCTCCAAGGAATTAAGTCCTGAACTTCTTAAACAAGTGTTGCTGACTCGACACGTTTTGTTTTTTTTTTTTTTTTTTTTTTTTTTCAACCGCCTTTGGAAGTTCAAGTCTAAGAATACTGTGCATTTTGGAATCTCCCTCGAGTCAAAATCTGTTAGAGGTCCTTTTCCTACAGTGAATTCCACATCAAAATTTAAACAGAATAAGAATAAATTTAACTCTACCTGCACTGAAACAATGGTAGACAAATGGCGTTTTCACTATTCCAGATTGTTTAATTCTAGATTCTTCTAAATACAAATACACATGCTTACATACACTTTAAAGTGCATAAAGTACATTTTGTTAACCAACCAAAACAGGCAGAAATGTGGAAAAGCATGAAACTGCAAAACAAACATTTCACTACGGAAATGTCATTTCCATTTCCTCACCTTTTCCAGATTCCATTGGGATTGGCTGATTTTTCATCTTGAATCTTGATCCATCTTTGATCAGTTTTTTGCATTTCAAGTACTAATTTGGAGTCTGCTCTGTTCCATTCATCCTATAAACAAAAATCCAAAAAAAAAAAGAAGAATTTTGGCACTGCCAACTGATAAAGGTTTTAATTTTGATGTGATTGTGTGTTTGTGGATGAGGGATGCATCTCTCTCTCTCTCTCTATGAAAAATATTTCAGAATTTTGTGATTGGAAAATGGTGATGTCCAATAGGCTTTTAAGACTTTCTCCCCAAGTAATCTTTCATGAACTTCCTCACCAGGTAGTCTTCTTCAAATAATCAGACCAAATAAAGTACCATCATTCACATTTGTTTTTTTCTATTCCCTCTTTATATATTCCCCACTTTCCAGTTGCTACTGTACGTTTCTAATAAATCAAATCATCTAACTTTTATTTTTATTTTTTGAGAGAATAAGATTATCTAACTTTTAATTATGTACTTCCACGTAATTAATAAATATAGGACCACACTGTGAATTTCACAATAAAAGTGTAATTCATAAATGGGGTGATTCAAAACTGTATGATATGAATTATATTATTGATCACATTGAAACTGTTATGTTAAAGACGGTTTATGATATAATCAAACCGTGTCTAGGAAGCCTTACTTTTTTCTTTATGCTCCAAATTTCAATGGTAATGCAGCTCTCTTTCATACCGTTTGGACCGCTAGAAAGGATTCGGCACAACCCTTAGATGGATCTGGAGTCTGATATATATATGTTCATGCTGAGTCATTCTATAGTGAGGGCCTTATATATGCCCTTAGGTGAGGTCCTATCTCTTAACCGTAAGATCAAACTAACCAATTTAATCCAACGATAATAGAGTCTCACCTATATATAAGGCCTCGCTATATAATTCTCGTGCTCATGCTATGCTGCTGAGCAATGTGCCATTAACCGCATAAGTGCAACCACCAAGCCAAGTTTTTGAGGTGGTGGGTAGCTATGGGATTTAAACTTAAGCTGTAATTTCTTTTGGATGTTTTTTTCTTCTGGGTTTTGGGCCTCATCTCCTGTACAATAGGATTGCAATGACCCATTTAGAGCGACATAAAACTTAACCCATAAGCCCAGTGCTTTCACCGTATTTGGCTTTGTTATAAAATAGGAAAAAAGCAAGCAGTAGACAACGAGGGGTGGTGGCGCAGTTGGCTAGCGCGTAGGTCTCATAGCTTGGAAGTTGAGTTATCCTGAGGTCGAGAGTTCGAGCCTCTCTCACCCCATTTCATTTTTCTCTTTTTGTAAAAAAAATTTGCGACTTCAACAATTAAAGGTTCTAACTTCCAGACAATTTCAGACTTCAATAACGCAAACAATACTTATATTTGAAACTCCAGTAGCCACCAGCCATACATCCTTACATCTTGGTCAGTAGGACGAAAGACTGTTAATCTCTATATACTATATATCAACATTTTGTCACTGCAAGGCCATGGCTGACATTAACCCATACTTTTATAGCAAACGGAAAGTAGGCAGTAAGACTGGCATTACTCAATGTGTCATAGAATATAGAGAACAAGAATGAACTATTTCTTGGTCAGTGAGTTTAGCACCACTTCCCATATAAAACTACTTCCCGGACACAAAAATAGAACAAAATCGCGCCTAGAACCGTGTTGCAAATGTAGACTGATGGGGGACTTGTCAATGGGAATGTTTGCCAGGTAATGAAGGAGCCCTTCCAATTGCTGGGGGTTGTTCTATTCTGTGTCTGCTCCACATCCTTTTCTGCATTTTTGCCTTGAGCTACCTTCCTGTCTATGCTAGACTTTGTTATAGAGATCTGCTTCTGGGGCAAATCAACAGAAGTTCTTCGTTCTTCAGGTTCTTTGGCCTGCGAAAAGGAAACCAAACTGAGTTAAGGAAATAGCCTTTACAAAGCTTCAATAGAAGGGCATATATATAACTACTGTAGAGAAAAAAAGAAGACTTTCTTCATGTTCTCTGTCCAGCAGTTTTTACTTCTCTCACCTTTCTTTGCTGTAGTTTTATTTCTCTCAATTTGCCTACTGGTGGATGTTTTCTTCTTCGTGTTCTTTCCTTCGTATAATATTCGTCATCAGTCGCTAATTGTATACAATTAACAGAAAAGGTTAATGCATCTACATTGACAGCGGAAGTATCCCTTAAGACATTAATGGATTTTGGTTGTGGTCTATGTGTTCTTTCCGATGTGCCAGACTGTAGTTGAAGCTCAGACGTCTGAGGTTGAGGTGCTACATTGACAGAGGAAGAAGCCTGTCTGGATGACAGGTTACGAAACATAACATCTGTATCTCGTCTGGACTGGCTCGAAACATATTGTGGTTCAAAAAACATTTGTGGTTCACAACGCTCTGGACTTTGCACCTGAAAAAAATGTCCCAAAAAATGAGCAAGTTTCCAAAGCCTATACTAACAAAAAATGAAGCAAAGTTTCGAGCGTTTGACCTGTGCAAACTATCAACACAGTACAAAATTTTGATTTTAATATCTATAGGACAATATCATTAGAAAGGACTGTAATAATGTGAATGACAGGCACATTATTCACATTACTACAGCGGTTCCTTGTGATATTTTCCTACAGATAAACATAGTGGTTCACTAGCTCTTAGAGTGTTCTCCAATAGCTACTCCAGAACATTTTTTTTACCCTTACATAGATTGGTTCTGTGTCTGTGTCTGTGTCAAATTGTGGATCAATAAGAAGCGATCTGGCAAACTCTTCGGCCTCGGGGTCATTTGCTTCAAAGTCAGATTGAAACGCATTGTGATCATTATTACGACGGGAATTTGCAAGCCAACGATCCCTTGTAAGCTCAAAATAGTCCAGATTTTCTCGTGGCCGAGTATCTTCCTGCATTTGGAACTATAAAATAAATGTTGGTTATTTTTTATATATATTTATTTTTATGTATACAGGGTGACCGCTCATAATCACTTGAGCTACAAGCCCTTGATAGCAAGTGTTGATTTATTGGACATGTTTCTTTTGCACCAGATATATATATATATATATATATATATATATATATGAAGAAGCTCATATCAGGAAATTAAAGTCTCGCGACTCTCACCTCTAGACTCACCATGCCATGTACTGGTTGATTTTTGAAATCAGATGCATTGTGAGTACTAGTTTCACCTTCATCACAGGTTGTTGCAACATCAGTATTCTCATCTGATTTTTTCACATTTTTCTTTAAGTGACAGAGAACGAAGTCCCTCTGCATATAATTAAGTTGGAAAACCAATTATGTAATGAAAGTAGAGGCAATAGAAAATCAAATGAGGTTCCAACGCACGCGGATGTCTCCAAATTTTGCATATTTACAAAACAAACCAAATTGGCTCGAAGGGGTTTCCACTTTGAACCTTGAGCCATTCATTGATTTCAAATTCGAAACTCCTTCGAGCTGCAAATTAGTAATTCATTATGACTAAATTTATATAGCACAACATGTATATCATGTTGTAAAGAGCAGCATTGTGTTATTGGTGCTGGAAAACAAAAACCATAAAAAGGAAAAGAAACAAAAAAAAAGGAAAAAAAAGAAAGAAAAAGAAAGAGAAAATGATGACCTGCTTATTAGCATTGGGATGGGCATCATCAGGGATATAATACTCATGAATGACCCAGTTGGTCTTCGTGGACTTACGAACACGACCTATGTAAAAGGTCAGAATCCTCTTTTTGGCGATGACAGTTCTGTTGTCTCGAGCCTTGATCACACGATCTTTGCTTGTGATCTTCCAAAAGCCTTCCTTTGTGGCCCTACTTCCTTTTTTGTATTTGTAGAAGAAGAACCAATTCTCATCGTCCGACTTTATCAACGATTTGTCTGCATAAACATTTTAATTGGACCCAATTGCATAGACAGAGCTTCAGACTCATTGAAATGCAAATTGAAAAAGTAAAAAAAAAGAAAAATCAAGAACTGGGATTGGTAGATGAGTAAAAGCATAACATTTGGATTGGACCCACTTGCGTGTAAAGAGTTTCAGACTGATTGAAATGCAAATTACAAATGAAGTAAGAAAAAGAATGAAAATTGAAGAACTGGGATTGCTGTAGTTACCAGGTAAATCCCAAGGCTCGAACTTGAGGATATCAATTTCATCAATGATGTTTTCGGCATGGGATTCCATGCCCTCCAGCTTATTCTTCAAATAGTAGTTCACCAGCTCTTCATCTGTGGGCCGAAATCTGAACCCCACCGGCAGTGACAAGTCACCTTCTTCTTCTTCTGCTGCTCTGCTGAGTCTGGCCATCTCTCTGTCCTTCTACTTTATGAAGAGAGAATGGTACAATTTGATTAATTGATCTGTATGTTTCTGCCAAGTGTTGAGTTGCTGTGAGAGTGAGTGAGAGACAATTGGGAAATTGGAATGCTGGGTTTTTGTGATTAATGAGGTCGGTTCTTGTTTTTTAATGATTAAAAACAACACAAGCGTACGGAAACGGAATTGACTTCCAAGTCTTTGGCTTTCTGCTTCTGGTGCTTACATGGGTTTGGAATTTTTGTGGCGGCATATGGTGGACCCCGGCACTCTATCTGTGTTAAATGTGCTGTATTTTGCATCGGTGCATTTATACGCATGTATTAAATTAATTTAACGAATTTAATCAGTTCATATAAGCATTTCTTTGCAACTTCTTTGTAAAGGACTCACTAGTGAAGTGGTCTAGAGTAATTGCTCCTCTATGTAATATGTTATTATCTCTCTGGGTTTGAATTAACATTTGTGTAGTGTGTGTGAGTTTAATATGTTATTACCTATTTAGGTCTTTAAAAAAAAGATTAAAAAATAAAAAATAAATAAAAAATGTCCCATCAAGAATCAAACACCCCTCCGCTGAACCCCACCCCCTGCCTGAACATTTCACGCAGGAAGGCGGTGCAGTTGGCTAGCGCGTGGGTCTCATAGCTTGGAAAGTGAGTAATCCTGAGGTCGAGAGTTCGAACCTCTCTCTCACCCCATTTCGTCTTTTTAATTTTTGAACTTCAACAATTGAAGGTTCCAAACAACAATTCAAGACCTTAATAACGCAAACACTGCTATATTCGAAACTCCAGCAACACAATTCAAGACCTCAATACATTCTTACATCTGGTCAGTAGAAAGAAAGACTGTTAATCTCTATAGGCATATATGAACATTTCATCACTGCAAAGCCATCGCCATGGCTGAGATTAGCGCATATTTTTATACCAAACAATAAGTACCCAGTAAGACTGGCATTACTCAATGTGTTACAGAATATGGAGAACAAGAATGAACTATTTTCTGGTGAGTGAGTTTAGCTCCACTCCCCATATAAAACTACTTCCCGGACACAAAACAAGAACAAAATTGTGCCTAGAACCGTGTTGAAAATGTAGACTGATGGGGGACTTTTCAATGGGGATGTTTGCCAGGTAATGAAGGAACGCTTCCAATTTCCGGGGGTTGTTCTATTCTGTGTCTGCTCCATACTGCCTTGAGGCACCTTCTTGTCTATGCTAGACTTTGTTATAGAGATCTGCTTCTCGGCCAAATCAGCAGCAGTTCGATGATAAGCAGGTGCTTTGGGCTGCAAAAGGAAACCAAACTAAGTTGAGGAAATATCCTCTACAAAGCTTCAATATAAGAACATGTATCTAGTTTAGAGAGAGAGAAAAAAAAAAGCTTTTCTTCATGTTCTCTGTCCTGGAGTTTTGGTTCTCTCACCTTTTCTGCTGCAGGTTTAGGTTTTTCAGGTTCTTTGGCCTGCAAAAGGAAACCAAACTGAGTTGAGGAAATAACCTTTACAAAGCTTCAATATAAGAACATATGTCTAGTTTAGAGAGAAAAAAAAACAAGGCCTTTCTTCATGTTCTCTGGCCTGAAGTTTTGGTTCTCTCACCTTTTCTGGTGGATATGTTATTCTGCTTGTTTTTTCCCTTGTATAATATTCGTCAGCGGAAGTATCCCTTAAGGCAATGCGATCTGATCGCAGTCGTATTCCGTATTTTCTAAGAGCAATACCAGTCTCTAATTGAACTCGATCAGTCTGAGGTTTGGGTGCTACATTGACAGTGGAAGCAGCCTGTCTGGATAACTGGTTATGAAGCATAATATCTGTATCTTGTATGGACTGGCTCGAACCATCTTGTAGTTCATAAAGCATTTCTAAACTCAGCTCCTGAAAAAAAATATGTCCCAAAAAATGAAGCAAAGTTTCGAGTGTTTGACCTGTGCAAACTATCAACACAGCACAAAATTTTAATTTTAATATTTATAGGATAATATCATTAGAAATGACTGTAATAATGTGAATGACAAGCACATTATTCACATTACTACAGCGGTTCCTAGTGATATTTTCCTACAGATAAACATAGTGTGGTTCACTAGCTATTGGAGTGTTCTAAAATAGCTACACGAGAACTTTTTTATTTACCCCTGCATGGAATGGTTTTGTGTTGAACGGTCTTAAGCGCTCTTCAAGTTCAGACGCCGAGTCATTATCTGCAAATGTCGCATTGTGATCATTATTGCTACAGGAACTTGCAAGCCAACGATCCTTTGCCTGCTCAAAGTAGTCCAGATTTTCTGGTTGTTGAGTATCTTCCTGCATTTGGAACAATAAATAAGTGTTGGTTATTTTTTTCAAATGTATACAGTGAATTTGGGTAGTGGGAAATCAAACCCAGGACCGTTGAGTGCAGGGTGAATGCTCATAAACACTTGAGCTCAAAGCCATTTTCACCAGATATATATATATATATATATATATATATATGAAGAAGCTCATGTCAGGAAATTAAAGTCTCACCTCTTGAATATCCATGCCATGTTTTGGTTGATTTTCGACATCAAATGCATTGCGAGTACTAGGTTCACCTTCATCACAGGTTGTTGCAACATCAGTATGAATCTCATCTGAATTTTTCACATTTTTCTTCAAGTGACAGAGAACGAAGTCCCTCTGCATATAATTAAGTTGGAAAACCAATTATGTAATGAAAGCAGAGGCAATATAAAATCAAATGAGGTAACTTCTAACGCAAGCCGACATCTCTAAGCTTTACATATTTACATAACAAACCAATTTGGCTCGTAGGTAGGGGTTTCGATTTCGAGCCATCTGTGATTTCGAAACTAAATTTCTATAGCACAACATGTATATCATACTGTACAAAAAAGAAAGAGAATGATGACCTGGTTGGCATTAGGATGGGCTTTAGGGATATAATACTCATGCATAACCCAGTTGGTCTTGTCGGAATTGCGACCATGACCTGTGTAAAAGGTCAGAATCCTCTTTTTGCCGATGACGGTTCTTCTCCCGTCTCGAGTCCTGATGTCATGTTCTCTGCCCGTTATCTTCCAAAAGCCTACCTCTGTGCTCCTCTTGGTTTTATTTTTTGAAGTGTACTCTGGTTGACTGAAGAAGAACCCGTTCTCATCGTCCGGCTTCATCAACGATTTCGCTGCATAACATAAAACACAACATTTGGATTGGACCCAATTGAGTTTGAGACTGATTCAAATGCAAATTACAAGTGAAGTAAGAAAATTGAAGAACTGATATTGTTGATAATTACCAACTAAATCCCATGGCTCGAACTTGAGGATATCAATTTCATCAATGATGCCTTCGGCATGGAAATCCGTGCCCTGCACCTTATTCTTCAAATAGTAGTCCACCAGCTCTTCATCTGTGGGACGAAATCTAAACCCCACTGGCAGTGACAAGTCACCTTCTTCTGCTGCTGCTGCTGCTCTGCTGAAGCTGATCATCTCTGTCTGTCCTTTATGAAGAGAGAATGTTACAATTTGTTGATTTGATTAATTCAACTATCTGTATGTTCCTGTCAAGCGTTGAGTTGTGAGAGGCAATTGGGAAATTGGAATGCTGGGTTTTGAGATTAATGCGTTGGTTTTTCTTTTCTAATGATTAAAAACAACAGAACAGTACGGAATTGACTTCCAAGTCTTTGGCTTCCTGCGTACTGCTTTGCTTCCGTGGCTTACATGTCTTCGGAATTTGTGTCGTGGTATATGGTAGACCCCACGCACGCGCTCCGCTCACAATAAGCTTTCCCAATCATGAAGCAATTCTTTAGTATGACCGTGACATTGATACTGCTAATACACTCATGTTATGTATGTATACAACAATCTTGTAAGTATGACCTAAGTCCATCATATAATAATCTTGTCAATCATCCAAATTAAATTTAATAACATTACGTAATAATGTGATCGTGACACCCTTAGTTTTGTACCTCTTTCTGTGCCAATATATATATATTATTTTTTTCTTTCCTAATCACATTTTTTACTGAAATATGAGACTATTTTCTAGATGGATTCTATTTAAATGAGCAGTGTAATTAGAAAATGCTCTATGATTTTACTAAAACTAGGATTGGCGTACTTAATCCTCCTAGATTGCATGATTCTTTGATGCAACCATGGTCATTTTACTTTATCAGAATTAGGATTGGCGTCTTCCAAATTTAGACTGCTCTTGGGTAAAAAAAGAAGCAAACATGAGCCTGCATTTTTTATGTGATTGTGGGTCCATCATTTTTTTCTTGTGTCCCCACTAATAATGTAAGGTCAGAGTTTCTTCTTGATTAAGTATTTGAAATGTATCATCCAGCATACACATCCCTTGTGATCTTCTACAAACGATTGCCTGTTATATACCATAGTTCCTTCCTATGCTGCTATTAGTTTTTGTCCTGTCTCTTGCTATGGTTTTGAAGCAACAAGTCAAAAATTAATCACATCATCAAGTCATACTTAGGATTTCAAAAATCCAGTTGTTTCTGGTAATCATAACACGTTACAGCTGACAGCAGCACACATGTTCCAGCTCCCAACAGTTGCGAGAATGAAGAATATCATATAGAAAATTCCCAAATCTAAAATGCTATTTTCTCTCTTTCCCAGGCCATACTTCCAGAAAATTGAATTCACAAACACAAGTAGCCCAGAAGGGACGTCTCTCTGTTGGCTATACACATTCCCTACAGATATGCAATTTTCCTCTCTGCTCTACTATATGTTTATCAACAATTTAAGTATGGTTTATGACTGAGAACACCACATCCTTTCTGGTGAGAGTACAACGGCGAGTCGGGCATGATCAGAAAGAGTATAATCTTCAGGCCATATTCCCTTTTCCACCTCACGGGGGTACAGAACTGCGTTCTTCACGTTGAATCCAAGGGCGTCCTGTGTGCCTCGTATGGACTCCTCTCTACTTCCATTAAGGTTTTCCTTTTCCTCTGACACTGTAGATATCCAGATCCTATTCTGCAATGTCAATCGTTTTAGGCACAACAAGGTGTTAATAATAATACTTTGGAATGACTATTACATAAGGGCAATGCTAATGCAAGTTCAAAACTGAAAATATATGAAAACAATATCCCACAATTTATGCATGCAAGGTACCTTAAATTCTTCATAATCAAGAACACCGTTTTCATCAACATCTGCTTGGATCCAGAGATCCCTTGTCTCCTGGAAACCCAGTCCCAAAGGTTGACCAATTAAATTAACCTGCAAAATGCCTATATGAGAAGTCTTATCTTTCCATTTGAACTTTATTTAGTTTATTGGCTAATAGAACGAACCTGATGGAGTGCTTCACAGAAAGCAGAGGATGTAATAAAATCACCATTGCTATCACCCTTCAAAAAGGAAAATGCATCATTTTCAGCCATTGAAGCTTTTCGGAGCTGGCTCTGGAAACCCCACAAGGAAAAAAAGAAAAAGATAATCAGCATAGGATGTGGAAACTGTCCACACAATTAACCAGAGCTTGCATGCACTATAATATAGAATACATCATTTTGGAAGTTTTTCAAACAGAGCTTATATGCACTACATATCTGACATGAACTACGAGTTCTCTCCTTTTTGTGGCAAGGAATTAGAAGTAGGTAGAGAAAAGGTGAATGGATGATTTTAAAGGAACTAATATAGAAAATGGTCAATGAATTGCTCACCCTTAATATACCAAGAACAGCTTCACACCAACTAGTCTTTAGTGGTTTACGTGACTTATTGGGATTACAAAGCCAAATGAAGTCGACACCACAGATGTTTCCCCTATGATTGCGGTGGCTAACCCACTGTAGGATATAAAATACAAATATTCAGTTAATACAAATGATGAGCATTGTGGCAGCCAAGTAAATCACTGACTTAAAAATTGAAATCCAAAAACCACCTACCTTGTGAGCATCTGCATCAGTATATTGATGAGCAGTATCATATGTTGATACAAACCCCTGAGATCTAAGGAATTTGTACACATGGCCACGCTTACTTCCATTCCAGTCACTGCAGCGAGCATTACGCAAAAGAATACAAATATAAGAATGAGCATTCTACACAAAAGAATACAACCAGAGATATCCCCATTTCATTAACTAAGAAATCTTTTGTCATGGAACATTAATTAACTAAGAAAGACAAGACAGGAGACTCACCCACAGAGTATGATGGGCATGGGGTTTAGTTTGTTTTCATTCTGATAAGATTCCACAAATTGCAAAATTTTGTAAACCTATTCAAAAGTTACAAGATATGAAGGTTAGTGTGATTCCTAATGCAGCTATACAGCATGATATGCACAAAAGTTGAACTTCATGGATATTTTGAATACCTGATGCAATCTTACTATAGAGAGACTGGAATCGTGAGGAAATAACAAGTGCGTATTCATAATTAGCATTTCTTGCAACTTCTTTGCAAATGACTCACTAGTGTAGTGGTCTGGAGTAATTGCTCCTCCATGTAATATGTTATTACTTCTCTGGGTTTGAATCTTAACATTTGTGTAGTGTGTGTGAGTTTAATATGTTATTACCTCTCTAGGTCTTTGAAAAAAAAGATTAAAAATAAATAATAATAAAAATGTCCCATCAAGAATCAAACACCCCTCCGCGGAACCCCACCCCCTGCCTGAACATTTCACGCAGGAAGGCGGCGCAGTTGGCTAGCGCATAGGCCTCATAGCTTGGAAAGTGAGTAATCCTGAGGTCGAGAGTTCGAGCCTCTCTCTCACCCCATTTCGTCTTTTTTATTTTTGAACTTCAACAATTGAAGGTTCCAAACAACAATTCAAGACCTTAATAACGCAAACACTGCTATATTCGAAACTCCAGCAACACAATTCAAGACCTCAATACATCCTTACATCTGGTCAGTAGAAAGAAAGACTGTTAATCTCTATATGCATATATGAACATTTCATCACTGCAAAGCCATCGCCATGGCTGAGATTAGCGCATATTTTTATACCAAACAATAAGTACCTAGTAAGACTGGCATTACTCAATGTGTAACAGAACATAGAGAACAAGAATGAACTATTTTCTGGTGAGTGAGTTTAGCACCACTCCCCATATAAAACTACTTCCCGGACACAAAACAAGAACAAAATCGCGCCTAGAACCGTGTTGAAAATGTAGACTGATGGGGGGCTTGTCAACGGGGATGTTTGCCAGGTAATGAAGGAACCCTTCCAATTTCTGGGGGTTGTTCTATTCTGTGTCTGCTCCATACTGCCTTGAGGCACCTTCTTGTCTATGCTAGACTTTGTTATAGAGATCTGCTTCTGGGGAAAATCAGCGGCAGTTCGAGGATATGGAGGTACTTTGGGCTGCAAAAGGAAACCAAACTGAGTTGAGGAAATAGCCTCTACAAAGCTTCAATATAAAAGCATATATCCAGTGTAGAGAAGGGAAAAAAAAGGAAGAAAAAAAAAGGCTTTCTTCGTGTTTTCTGTGCTTCAGTTTTGGTTCTCTCACCTTTTCTGCTGCAGGTTTAGGTTTTTCAGGTTCTTTGGCCTGCAAAAGGAAACCAAACTGAGTTGAGGAAATAGCCTTTGCAAAGCTTCAATATAAGAACATATATCTAGTTTGGAGAGAAAAAAAAAGCCTTTCTTCATGTTCTCTGTCCTGAAGTTTTGGTTCTCTCACCTTTTCTGGTGGATATGTTATTCTGCGTGTTTTTTCCCTTGTATAATATTCGTCAGCGGAAGTATCCCTAAAGACAATGATGGGACCTGATTGCTGTTGTGGTCTGTGTTCTCTTTGATATGTACCAGGTTTGGATGCTACATTGACAGAGGAAGAAGCCTGTCTGGATAACTGGTTATGAAGTATAACATCTGTATCTCGTCTGGACTGGCTCGAACCACATTGTAGTAGTTCATACGGTATTTGTGGTTCACAACGCATTTGTAAACTCTGGACCTGAAAGAAATATGTCCCAAAAAATGAGCAAGTTTCCAAAGCCTATACTGACAAAAATGAAGCAAAGTTTTGAGTGTTTGACCTGTGCAAACTATCAGCACATTACAAAATTTCGATTTTAAGTTTCTATAGGAAAAGTATCATTAGAAAGGACTGTGAATGACAGGCAAAAAAAAAGTAGAGTGGTTCACTAGCTATTGGAGCGAATCGAGAGCATTTTTCTACCCGGTGATGGACTGGTTCCCTGTCTCTGTCACTGATTACTCCAAATTGTGGTTCAACAATAAGCGTTCTTAAGAAATCTTCAAAATTAGCCTCCTGGTCATGAGCTGAAAATGCAGGTTGAAACGCATTGTGATCATTATTACTAGGGGAACTTGCAAGCAAAAGATCCCTTGCCCGCTCAAAATAGTCCCGATTTTCTGGTGGCCAAGTATCTTCCTGCATTTGGAACAATAAATAAGTGTTGGTTATTATTTTTTCAGTTTATATACACAGTGAATTTGGGGAGGGGAAATCAAACCAAGGACCCTCGTGTGCAGAGTGAACGCTATACACGGCCTTTGCATATAGGGTTGGTTTATTGGATGTCTCATTTTCAGGAAATCAGAGTCTCACCATATTCATGTCATTTACTGGTTGATTTTCGACATCAGATGCGTTGTGAGTTTCACCTTCATCACAGGTTGCTGCAACATCAGTATTCTCATCTGATCTTTTCACATTTTTCTTTAAGCGACAGAGAACGAAGTCCCTCTGCATATAATTAAGTTGGAAAACCAATTATGTAATGAAAGTAGTAATCCACAAAACAAACCAATTTGGCTTGAAGGGGTTTCGATTTTGAGCCATCCATTGGTTTCCAAATCGAAACCCCTTCGAGCTGCAAATTAGTATCCGTTATTACTGAATAATATCTATAGCACAACATGCATATCATATTGTAAAAGAGGAGCATTGTGTTAATGTGAATGTGAAAACAAAAACAATAAAACTAAAAAGAAAAATAAAAGGAAAGAGAATGATGACCTGAGCATTAGGATTGTCATCAGGGATATAATACTCATGCATGACCCAGTTGGTCCTTTCGGAATTACGAACACGACCTCTGTAAAAGGTCAGAATCCTCTTTCTACCGATGACACTTCTGTTGTCTCGAGCCTTGATCGCATGTTCTCTGCCTGTGATCTTCCAAAAGCCTTCCTGCGTGGTCCTGTTTTTTTTGTGCTTGTTGTACTCTGGTCGACTGAAGAAGAACCAATTCTCATCATCCGACTTCAGCAACGAACTCTCTGCATAAACATAAAACACAACATTTGGATTTGACCCAATTGCGTATGCAAAGTTTCAGACTCATTGAAATGCAAATTAATAATTGTCAAAAAAATGAATTCAAGAACTGGGATTTGGTAAAAAAGTAAGAACACAACATCTGGATTGGACCCAATTGCATATAGAGACTTCCAGATTGATTGAAATGCAAATGAAAAGTGAGGTAAGGAAAAAACTTTAAGAACTGGGATTTGTTGATAATTACTAGGTAAATCCCAAGGCTCGAACTTTAAGATATCAATTTCTCGGATGATGTTGCTGACATGGGAATCCATGCCCTTCAGCTTCTTCTTCAAGTAGTGGGTCACCAGTTCTTCATCTGTGGGATGAAATCTGAACCCCACTGGCACTGACAAGTCGTCTTCTGCTGCTCTGCTGATGACGATCATCTCTCTATCCTTTCATGAAGTGAGAATGTTACAATTTTTTGATTGGATTAATTGAACTGTCTGTGTATATTTCTGTCAAGTGTTGAGTTGCTGTGACAGAGTTTGGTTTTGGTTTTTCTTTCAGAAAGATTAAAAACAACAGAATTGTACGGAATTGACTGCAAGGTCTTCGGCTTTCTGATTGCTGCTTTGCTTCTTCTCCTTTCATGGTTTGGAATTGGAATTTTTGTCGTGTCATATGGTGGACCCCACCCACGCACTCTAACCGTGTGAAATTAAATGTATGGCTCTGTGTGCTTCCCGGCGGGGATCGAGAAGCTTCCCATCATGGAGGAATTTTTCGGTAAAGCCGTCACATAATCGAGTTTATATTACTAATTCAATCATGTGATAATAGTATATCCATTTCTTAATACTACATCTATCGCATAATAATCTTGTCGTACACATTACAGCACATGACAATGTGACCGTCAAACCTTCGCTTTGTATCTCTTTTTTTTCCATCACTATTTGATAGAATTTGTAAAAATTATATGGACTATATTCATATATGCATCTTTTGCGTACCGAAATATGAGACCCATTTTACAGATGGGTTCTATTCGTACTAGAATGAAATATTTTCTGGTGAGTTAGCTTAGCTCCACTCCCCAAATAAAACTACTTCCCGGACACAAAAATAGAACAAAGAAAGGCCTAGAAAAATGTTGGAAATGTAGGCTGATGGGGGACTTGTTGTCAACGAGGGTGTTTGCCAGGTAATGAAGGAACCCTTCCAATTGCTGACGGTTGTTCTATTCTGTGTCTGCTCCATACCCTTTTCTGCATTTTTGCCCTGAGCCACCTTCTTGTCTTGGCTAGAATTTGTTAGAGAGATCTGCTTCTGGGGCAAATCAGCAGCAGTTCGACGATATGCAGGTTGTTTGGGCTGCAAAAGGAAACCAAACTGAATTGAGGAAATACCCTCTACAAAGCTTCAATATAAGAACATATATCTAGTTTAGAGAGAGAGAGAGAGAAGAAGAAAAAAGAGCCTTTGTTCATGTTCTCTGTCCTGGAGTTTTGGTTCTCTCACCTTTGCTGGTGGATTTGTTCTTCGGCGTGTTTTTTCCTTTGTATAATATTCGTCAGCGGAAGTATCAATGATGGGACCAGGTTGGTGTCGTGGTCCGCGTGCTCCTTGAGATGTATCAGACTTTAATTGAACTCGATCAGTCTGAGGTTTAGGTGCTACATTGACAGAAGAAGCAGCCTGTGGGGAGATCTGGTTACGAAATATGCCACCTGTATCTCGGCTGGGCAGGCTCGAACCATAGAATACTTCACTAAGCATTTCTGCCTGAAACAAAAAAATGTCCACAAATATGAGCAAGTTATTTCTTTTTTAGAAAAGTCGTCTTCTTCTTCTTATGCTTCTTCTTTTATTATTATTATTATTTTATGTTGAATATACACTCAACTTTGAATCAAATAGTTGTTCTTTACCTGAGTTATAGGTAATACATTTTTTGATATTATATATATATATATATATAAATTATAGGTAACATATTCCTTTAACCCAAAAAAAGAAGAAGTTATTAATTGACTTGTGTTTTTACATACATGAGATAGAGGTACTACACTTTTTTGCCTTTTTGTTTATGAATTTAAATTATAGGTAACATACGCTTTACCACTTATCTTTCTTATGTACCGGAGATATAGGTAGCATATACTGTCCGACTTATGTTTTTATACACCTAAGTTATAGGTAATTTAATATTTTGCTTGTTTATTTTTCCACCTTAATTATGGGTAAGATGTTTTGTGGTTTGTTCAACTTATGATGTAGATATATTATCCTTGTCCTATTGTCCTATTGTCCATTGCATAGGTATAATATGTGGGTCTTACTTTCATTGATTAAATGGTATATATTAGGTAAATATTATTAAGGAAATTATGCATTAAATTTAGATTTTTAATATGTTTTTCTTATTTACCTCAAAAGGGTAAAATCAACACAACAACAAAAGTAAATAAAGTCAAAGGACCTACATCTAAAATTAAAAATGCATGGATTAAATCTAATAACAGCTAATTGTTTTTGACCTAAATTTAAGAACCCCTTTCTTTTTTTTATGTAATACACTCAGTGATACGACGCCATTGTTATTGTTCATAAACAAACACCATCAATAGATTCTAGAACCAGTTCTTTTCTATATTTTTCTATGAGCTGAGATTGAATTATGACTTACAGTTGGCTCTCTGTTTGTTTATTGCATGATAATTTTCTTTTACCACAATAGTTGGATAACAACACCTTATAACGAATCCCTCCTAATCCCCACAACATGGAAAGTCATTCACCCCTACCTTCATTTTCTCCTTCAATATACCTTAGATTTACTAACTTATCCAAGCCAATCCAATACTAGTTACCAAACATGAACTTAAGTTATTGACGGATGAATTAGTCCGACTCAAGATTAGTGTATTGCAGTAAATACTTCTACCTAAAGGTGTGTTTCCTTATATATGGTTTTGACACTGGACAATTAGCAAAATTTTCCTTCCGGTTTTGGTAAATCTAGTGATTTTGCTGGCTTAGTAAAGTATAAAAGAAGCCCCTATATCTTAATTATGTCAGCAGTTAAACTCACACTACAAAATGCAGGGAGTTTAATTGATCAGGAGAAGAAGGTATTGGTTTTGAGCACACACAACAATGTCCTTCGTTTTCGTGATTCTGTATACTATATTTTGTTGATATTCATATGGTATGTGTGAACAATAAAGCTGCTAATGTTGATATTCATATGGTTTTGTTAAAGAAGCTTACTACTTTCAAGATTTATATCACATTATGATTGCTAAAAAAAAGTGTTAAAGCACTTTAAAAGGATTTTTTAGTGTTCATCTGCTCGGTTTCAGTTCGATATTTTTTTTTCTCAGATTCAACATTTATATATTGTAATCCACTGATGATGTTGGTTTCAGTTGTGTAGTGGCACATTATTCCTATTGCTACAGACTACAGAGGGTCCTTGTGATATTTTCCTACAGATAAACATAGCGTGGTTCATTAGCTATTGGAGTGTTCTCCAGTAGCTAATGGAGAGCTGTTTTTTTTTACCTGTCCATGTCCATGGAATGGTTCCATGTCTGTGTCACTGGTTACTCCACCATCTGGTTCAACAAGAACCGTCTCTAAGAACTCTGCGAATTCAACATCCGAGTCATTTGCTGCAAATGCAGGTTGCAACGCATTGTAATCAACATATTCCTGCATTTGGAAGAAAAAATAAGTGCTGTTTTTGTTTTTCCAATGTCCAAGCAAATTTGAGGGAGGGGGAATCCAATACAGGAGCTTGAGTGCATAGATAAAAGCCCCTTGCAGCACTGCACCGGATATATACGAAGAAGCTCATCTCAGGAAAATGAAAGCCTCACCTCTAGAATATCATGTGCTGGTGGATGTTCGAAATCAGATGCATTGTGAGTACTAGGCTCACCTTCATCACAGGTTGTTGCAACATCAGTATGAATCTCATCTGATTTTTTCACATTTTTCTTCAAGTGACAGTGACAGAGAACGAAGTCCCTCTGCATATAATTAAGTTGGAAAACCAATTATGTAATGAAAGCAGAGGCAATAGAAAATCAAATGAGGTAACTTCTAACGTAAGCCGACATCTCTAAGTTTTGCATATTTACATAACAAACCAATTTGGCTCGTAGGTAGGGGTTTCAATTTCGAGCCATCTGTTGATTTCGAAACTAAATTTCTACAGCACAACATGTGTATCATTTTGTACAAAAAAGAAAGAGAATGATGACCTGGTTGGCATGGGCTTTAGGGATATAATACTCATGCATGACCCAGTCGGTCTTGTCGGAATTGCGACCATGACCTATGTAAAAGGTCAGAATCCTCTTTTTGCCGATGACGGTTCTTCTCATGTCTCGAGTCCTGATTTCATGTTCTCTGCCTGTTATCTTCCAAAAGCCTACCTCTGTGCTCCTCTTGGTATTTTTTTTTGGGTGTACTCTGGTTGACTGAAGAAGAACCCGTTCTCATCGTCCGGCTTCATCAACGATTTCGCTGCATAACATAAAACAAAACATTTGGATTGGACCCAATTGAGTTTGAGACTGATTCAAATGCAAATTACAAGTGAAGTAAGAAAATTGAAGAACTGATATTGTTGATAATTACCAACTAAATCCCATGGCTCGAACTTGAGGATATCAATTTCATCAATGATGCCTTCGGCATGGAAATCCGTGCCCTGCACCTTATTCTTCAAATAGTAGTCCACCAGCTCTTCATCTGTGGGACGAAATCTAAACCCCACTGGCAGTGACAAGTCACCTTCTTCTGCTGCTGCTCTGCCGAAGCTGATCATCTCTGTCTGTCCTTTATGAAGAGAGAATGTTACAATTTGTTGATTTGATTAATTCAACTATCTATATGTTCCTGTCAAGCGTTGAGTTGTGAGAGGCAATTGGGAAATTGGAATGCTGGGTTTTGAGATTAATGCGTTGGTTTTTCTTTTCTAATGATTAAAAACAACAGAACAGTACGGAATTGACTTCCAAGTCTTTGGCTTCCTGCGTACTGCTTTGCTTGTGCGGCTTACATGTCCTTAGAATTTTTGTCGTGGTATATGGTAGACCCCCCCGCGCACTCCCGCTCACGAGAAGCTTTCCTATCATGAAGCAATTCTTTAGTATGACCGTGACATTGATACTGCTAATACAATCATGTTATGTATGTATACAACAATCTTGTACGTATGACCAAAGTCCATCATATAATAATCTTGTCAATCATCCAAATTAAATCTAATAACATTACGTAATAATGTGATCGTGGCACCGTTAGTTTTGTATCTCTTTCTGTGCCAATATATACATTTTTCTTTCCTAATCATATCTTTTACTGAAATATGAGACCATTTTCAAGATGGATTCTATTTAAATGAGCAGTGTAATTAGAAAATGCTCTATGATTTTACTGCAACTAGAATTGGCGTACCTAATCTTCCTAGATTGCATGATTCTTTGATGCAACCATGGTCATTTTACTTTATCAGAATTAGGATTGGCATCTTCCAAATTTAGTATGTTCTTGCGTAGAAAAAGAAGCAAACATGAGCCTGCATCTTTTATGTGATTGTGGGTCCATCATTTTTTCTTGTGTCCCCACTAATAATGTAAGGTTAGAGTTTCTTCTTTATTGCCATTACAACGGATATGTGGACATCGAATAATCAAAAGAAAGGATTCATGACTATCACATCACATTTCATTGATGATGCATGGAATTTACAAAGTCGATTAATAAGGCAAATTTATTATATTGTTCTTATTTGAATTATTAATACTCTTTTTTTTAAAATAATTAGATTGTGACTTATTTGGCTTTTATTGTGAGTTTATATACGTTCCATGTCCACACACGGCGGATGTACTTGCTGATGCTTTATTGGAATGCATGTTCGAATGGAATCTTGACCGTAAGTTGTCTACCTTAACTGTAGATAATTGTTCTACAAATGATTCCATGATTGCGATAGTGGTAGATAACATTTGCTCCAGTTCACTTATGTTAGATGGACGTTTATTCCACATGCGGTGTTGTGCTTATATTCTGAATTTGGTGGTGAGAGATAGCTTAGAGGTAATTAAAAAGAGTATTGAGAAAATTAGATACAGTGTTGCATTTTGGCTAGGAACCCAAAAAAGAGAGGAGAAATTTCTTGAAGCAGCAAGACAATTGAGAGTTCCAACCTCTAAAATGTTAGAACTTGATTGTAAGACTATATGGAACTTTACATATTCCATGTTTAAGACTGCAATGATATACAAAGATGTTTTTCCTTGTTTGAAGCATCGTGAGCCGTTGTACAAAGAAGTGCCTAGTGAAACTGATTGGGCAAAAACAAATGAGCTTGTTGATAAGTTGGCCATGTTTTATGATGTGACTGTGCTTTTTTTCAGGGACCAAGTATCCTACTGCCAATCTTTACTTTAAGAATATTTGTGCTATTAGATTAGCTATTTATGATTGGCTTAATTCTGAACAAGAAGAAGTGCAAGCAATGACATTACATATGCAAACAAAGTTTGAGAAGTATTGGGATACAATGCATGGTTTGATGGGAGTTGCAAGTATTTTGGATCCAAGGTATAGGATGAAACAAATTGCATTTTTATGCCCTCTAATATATCCAAACAATGCAGCTCAAGAGATTAAGAAATATAAAGATATCCTCTATGACTTAGTCAAGGAGTATCAGTCAAAATCTCAACAAAGTCAGCAGGTCCAATCTGAATCTTTGATTCCTACTTCTTCATCTAGGCCATCTATGCCTAAACTTGATTTGGTAAAGCAATTGGATGTGTTTGTTTCTCACTCCACTACCCATGGACATGTTAAATCTGAGTTGGATCACTATTTAGAAGAGTCTCTTTTACCTAGGAATGATGATGATGATTTTGATATATTGTGTTGGTCAAAATCAAATGGGATCAAATATCTTACTTTGCATGATATTGCTAGAGATATTTTGGCCATTCCTGTATCCACAGTTGCTTCAGAGTCTTGCTTTAGTACTAGTGGAAGGATTATAAACCCTCATCGTAGCCGGCTTCATTAAAAAAAAGTAGAGGCATTGATGTGCGCTCGTGATTGGTTATGGAGTGAGATAAGAGGTATTGAAATATTTTTGTAGTTATATTTTTCATATTAAGTAAAACATTTTATTATTTTTTTTTGATAATTTTTATTTATTTATATGGTTAGCTTCAAGCTCTAATGAGAACGAAGCTAAAAGACTCACCGTTCAAGATGAGGAAGTTGATAATAATGAGGAAGAGATAACATTCTTATATTTAATAGCTCTCCTCTTTTTTTTTAAATGGATTTTTCTTATATTGGCCAATTTCTTACTTTCTTTTAAATAATTGTAATGCCTTTATCTTATTAATATATATATATTTTTTTTATAGGAGTCTACCATTGAAACAGAGAACATCTCTTTGTTTTTTGATTAAAGCTATGAATGAGGAAGCATATGAGAGTTCATTGAAATTGTGAAGTTTTATTTGATGACAAAATATTGTCAATATTTCTTTGGGATTGGTTTTCTAATTTAAGACTATATGGATTTGTTGTGCATACTGAAAAAGTTTCTAAAGATTCGGATTGGGAAATTATTTCAAGTTTTGTGTCCTCCTTTGCCTTGCTGAGAAATTATTTTAACAAGAAATATCTTGTGGTGGCTGTTTTTAAAAATTTACAATGATGTGACTATGCTTAGAAAATTATTTTAACAAGTATCTTATTAAAAATCGGGGATTGGGGCGGGTATGGGAGGCACTTCCTCGACGGAACGGGGACGGGGATTCCCCGAAAAGCCTAAACCGGGGATTGGGGAGGGGACGGGGACGAGGATGGGGAACATGGATGGGGATGGTATTGTCATACTCGGCCCCTAACCGGCCCGTTGCCATCCCTAGTTCTGTTCGTACTAGAATGAAATATTTTTTGGTGAGTGAGCTTAGCTCCACTCCCCATATAAGAACGTGGCGGTGAAAGCCTTGAAATTCAGCGGCGCCCTCCAGAGCAAATATAGCGTCGTTTTGCAAGTCAAAATGAAGACTTTCTCATTGTAGGCCCGAGACGCCTCGCATCCAAACCGGTACTCGACTCCCGCTTCTTTGAAGTAGGGTTCCTTGTTGAGAACCAGGCCTTGGATCGACACCAGAACCTGAAGGATCGTCGACTGAGATGGGTCCCACTTCTCCTTCCCTTTTCCCGGTCAGGTGTTGAGCAGGCTGAGGCAGACATACCCGCTCGCGTAAAGGTTCGGGTTGGGCCTCAGCCCGAACGAGTGGTAGTGGACCTCGGTGGGGTGTGTCAGGTAATCGAAGGGGAAGGCGATGTCGAAGAAGAAGAGCGCGTCGAGGTAGGGCGTGCCGGAGGCTCCGACGACGTAGATGGAGTCCGGGAGGTGCTTCTCCAGAATCTTCCACTCCTACATGATCTTCTTCTAGACCCGGCCGCCGCCGCTACAGCCGTTTTTGTTGTTGACGTAGTGGTGGTCTGAGTGGTCCGAAACGACGTCGAATCGCTTGAATACATTGGGCTTCAACGTCGTTGTCTTTGGCGTCACAGAAGAAGAAGAAGAATGGGCCATCATCGTTCCGTTTTCTTTTAAGACTCTTTGGTGATTGGACGGACAGTGGACTGTTGTGACTGTGGACTGTCAAGGCTGCGGGGCCACTCGGATTATGGACATAATAGACGGTGATTAAAGCTTTTCGTCTGAATAGGGTAAACAAGAAATGAGTTGAGAATAAGTTGGTAATCTACTAACTAATGGATTAGGTTGGCCTGGCCTAGGGCCAAGTGACTTGTGGTGAGTGGCTTTGGCTTAATAATTTTGTTTTGTGCGTGTTTTTGACATGGGGAAGAATTTAAGCAAATTACTAAAAAGTATTGCTTATGTTGTACATTAATTACTACTGCTTAGATACTGTCCTGATTTTGATCAGGAGATCCTTTACTTCAACATGTAACAAAGTGAGAAAAAGTGAAGAAACAAATTTAGAGTTTTAATCAATGATTTGCAATTTGACAAGTTCTTGAAATATGCAAAATCTTTGGATGAATCTTTAATCCAAAAGAAAAAGGGGGAATATGGAAAGTAGAAGCAGCCAACTTGGCAAAGAAGAGCGACATAAAACAAAGATTAATGCAATCTTAACAAACTTTTATCATATTGTATGATGAAAAAGTATTCAGTGTGACCGTTACACTGACACATAATATTACAATCCGTTTATATTATAAAACGTATATTTATTTATTAATATTATATCATAGGGCCCTAAAGCATAAGCTATGTCTTTAACCAAATATTATAATGAGTTTTCTATTGATTGATAAGGGATGAAACATTTACTTTTGGGTTTGGTAATTTGAATTTCTATTGATAAGCCTAAAGCCCCATAGTTTTTTTAGACACAAGTACATGATAAACACCAAAAAGATACCAGCATTCCTCAAAGTCAAAAGGGTGGATTGTTTAGGCGTTTTTGATGAGGCTCCAAGTTGGGTTGGGACTTCTTTGGTGGATGATTTGTTAGGGATGTCTACGCCCTACTTGATTTGTGTTGGTTAGTTTGTTTTGTTTGTTTGGGGTTTTCCTCCCCAGTTCAAAAAAAAAAAAAAAAAAAAAAAAAAAAGTGGATTGTTTTGTTGGTGCAAAGGAGAAAAATCAATACTCACAACCATAGTCTAAAATGTTGATAATATCGAGGATATTATCGTTTTTTTGGGTTATGGATATTTCGGAACATATCCATACACATCGTATAAATATCGATAATATCGGAAAATATCAATGTCGATAATTTTGCTCACACTTCAGCAATATTTTATCAAAATATCGCTAAAATATCGAAAATATCGATGTAATGAAAAAAGAAAAAAGAAAACACAAAGCACACACCCAAAGGGGATTCAAATGCTTGCCATTTCACTCCTCCAACGCCTTAACCATTATATTACTTATGTTTTTTTTGATAATATGCTAGAATATGTATATTTATATTGTTTTGTTTTGTAGAAGATCACAAGGGATGTGTATGCTGGATGATACATTGCAAGTACTTAATCAAGAAGAAACTCTGACCTTACATTATTAGTGGTGACAGAAGAAAAAATGATGGACCCACAATCACATAAAAAAAATGCAGGCTAATGTTTGCTTCTTTTTCTACCCAACAACAATCTAAATTTGGAAGACGCCAATCCTAATTCTGATAAAGTAAAATGACCATGGTTGCATCAAAGAATCATGCAATCTAGGAAGATTAGGTATGCCAATCCTAGTTTTAGTAAAAGGGTAAATTACTCAAATGGTCCTCAAACTTGTATGCGATTTACATTTTGGTCCCTCAATTAAATTATTAGTCCAAATGGTACATAAACTCTATTTTAATCGCCCATTTGATCCAACCGTCTAATTTTTTGTTAAACATAACCAAATTTTAGGGTAAATATGACTTTTCATAATTAACAAATAAAATTGGGTTAAAACAAATAAAAAATTAGAAAATAATTGAAGAAAAAGAGAAAAAATAATAATGAGACCCTACCCCCCTTCGATTTCTTCTCCCCCATTCCCACAGACCTTGGCGTACCGTATAGCTCCCAGGAGCTCAGCCCGGATGGTATTTCGGTTATCCAAGGTCTCATTCATATACTTTCTCAACCCCATTGCATCCATTCACCCACCAACTCTGGACGAGGAGGAACTGAATCCGACTGAAGACTTGTACCAAGCTCAATCGTGTTCCGGGTCGGAGGGTTTGATGAAGAAGGGTCCTTTACCATCTGGGTCGACAAAATTGATGAAGAAGGTGGGTCCATTGTTATTTGGGTTGGTGTTTTGGTGTCTTCCGTTATTTGGGCCAATGTCAATGATGACAAAGACGGGTCTTCTGCTATCTGGGTCAGTAAAAGAGAGAGAGAAAGAGAGAGAGAGAGAGAGAGAGAGAGAGAGAGAGAGAGAGAGAGAGAGTTTTTATTTCATTTTTTAATATTTATTTATTTTTTAACATACAAAATAACCAATTTGCCATCATATTTAACAGAAACATTGACAGAATGTAACGGTAGAACCAATAGAGCGATTAATATAGAGTTTATGTACCATTTGGACTAATAATTTAATTGAGGGACCAAAATGTAAATCGCGTACAAGTTTGAGGACCATTTGAGTAATTTACCCTTAGTAAAATCATAGGGCATTTTCTAATTACATTGCTCATTTAAATAGAATCCATCTAGAAAATGGTCTCATATTTCAGTAAAAGATGTGATTAATAAAGAAAAAAAATATACATTTGCACAGAAAGAGATACAAAATTAAGGGTTTCATGATTACATTATTACGTAATGTTACTATGTTTAATTTGGATGATCGACAAGATTAATATATGATGGACCTAGGTCATAAGTACAAGATTGTTGTATACATACATAACATGATTGTATTAGTAGTATCAATGTCACGGTCATACTAAAGAATTGCTTCATGATAGGAAGCTTCTCGTGAGTGTGCGTGCATGGGTTCTTCAATTTTTTCTCCATTTTTCTGTCAAATGTCAAATGTCAAATGCTGGCCTCTAAACTGCCACTGGTTGCTCACAAGTGTAGGTTGCTCTCCAGTCTAGGCTCCCTCACGTTCATCATTTCTTTTATACAACCTAGCCATTGTTTTCTAAATTCTGTATTTACACACATCACCCTGCTCAGTGGTCAAACCCTAATTAACAAATATTTTCGAGTTCTATATTGGGAATTCAATCAATCACCCAAGTTCGATAATATTTATATTTATTTAAAATATTTGGTCCAAAGATTTTATTAGCATTAGTCGTCCACATAATTGATGACAATTGTTTAGATAAACATAAGGCAAGAGGAAAATGAGAATCCTTTTTTTTTGTCAAGTCCTAGGCACAAAATAATTAACTTCTTCATGTACCTCTTTTGAAGAAGAAGCTCAAAAATTGATCCCAATTCCGATAACCTTTTCATTCTAGTACGAATAGAACCCATCTATAAAATGTGTCTCATATTTTAGTACGCAAAAGATGTATATATGAATATAGTCCATATAATTTTTACAAATTCTATCAAATATCGATGGAAAAAAAAAGAGAGATACAAAACGAAGGTTTGACGGTCACATTGTCATGTGTTGTAATGTGTACAACAAGATTATTATACAATAGACTTAAGGTTTAGTATTAACTAGCCCCTTGGCACATTGGTTTTCTTTTTTCTTTTTTATTTTAATTTCAGAATTAAGAAAAGATAACATGAGTAGTTATGTTCCTAGGACCTATTATTTTATTTTGTTTTTAATTTTAATTTTTTTAATATGAAAAAAGTGAATTTACCATATTATTATCATTTAATTAATAATTTCAATTCTCAATATTTGAATTAACCAATAATATTTTTTGATATTCTAAATATTTTACTATTCTCTGCATTTGGCTTTATATATATAGATAAATAGATATACTATTATCACATGATTGAATTAGTAAATATAAACTCGACTATGTGACGGCTATACTGAAAAATTCGTCCATGATGGGAAGCACACACAGCCGTACATTTAATTTCACACGGTTAAAGTGCGTCGATATCAGACCCAAAAAAAACAAAAGTGCGTGGGTGGATCCACCATATGCCACGACAAAAATTATAATTCTAAACCATGAAAACAGAAGCAGCAAAACAACAGGCAGAGAGCCGAAGACTTTAACACTTGAGAGAAACATACACCGTACACGTACAGTTCAATTAATCTAATAAAAAAATTGTAACATTCTCACTTCATAAAAGGAATGATCGTCCAAACAAAAAAAGGAATGATTGTCATCAGCAGAGCAGCAGCAGCAACCAGAAGACGAGTTGTCGGTGCTAGTGGGGTTCAGATTTCATCCCACATATGAAGAATTGGCGACCCATTATCATAATTTAAAATATTGATAATATCGACGAAATATCAAGATTCGTTTTTCGGGTTACAGATATTTCAGAAAGTATTTATACACATATAGTATAAAAATTGATAATATAGGAAAATATCGATATTGATAATTTCGCTTTAACCATCATGTTACTTATATTTTTGTGATAATACGCAAAGGAGAACTCTATGTGGTACTAAGTCACTCATATATCTTACCATGTGATGTATAAAGTGTAAAATATTGTAGTAAATCATTATATGTGAATGATTATGGTGTGTCTAATCTTCTTTCATTAATCATTACATATTTTCTACACTCACGATGTTTGTTAGCTCGCTATATAATCAACTTAAATTAGTTAAACCCATCATGCAATGCATTTCCTTCCAATTTTTTGTGATAAACTAATAGATAATTAACTAAATAAACATCCTCCAAAGTTTCAATAAAAAATTTCAAGTTTTTCTTACAATTTTTGTGGTTTTTATTCAATTTTTATCGATATCAATAATATCCCGATATTTCTATCGAAATGTCCGTGTTTTTGGATTACCAATATTTTATACCATAGATATTTTGGACCTTGATTATAACCAATGAATCATGGTATTAATGAAATTTACTCTCTTTTGATAAAAATAAAAACAAAAACTTTGCGTCCCTCAAACAATACCTTTATTTTAAACCCAATGTTAATAGTTGATAGTCAAATCCTTTTATACATGTATGCGATACATTAACGAATTTTGCTAAATATGTAACCTGTTATATTAAAATACACTATCTATTTGAGAATGCACTTGAAATTTGTGGTATCATTCAATAATGATAACTAAACACGAAACTATCTAGATTATAAAGTGTTTTCTTTGCAATTGTGGATTCAAAAAATGATTTGTTAGTCGTGAGTATAGTTCGCAGCTAATGAATTTAATCTTCTTGTTTTCAATTAAGTTTGTTGCTTCATACCTTACTTCCAGTTTTCTTTACATCAGATTGGAAGAGACTACTAATGGTAGTGTTTACGTTTTCCCTTTCACTAGTTGTATGGGGAAGCAGTGGACTCTAGAAGTACTATTAATTGAGTTTAGGAACTAAACTGTATCAATTTTTTTTTATAGATCGTTCGTCAAAAGATACAAGAGAAACCGTCCCAAACAAAAGCAAACATGTAGCCTTCCGAATTGAGAACGTGCATGAGAGCAAGTGGAGCCCTATTGAGCCAAAACCGCCTTCCACCAGACCTACCAAGTTTTTACTGTAGGATTCACTTGACTCAGATATTGTTTTTTCTGTATTGTGCACCCTTGAATAGGGGTGGGCATCTAAAACCGAAATACTAAAACCGTACACTAACCATATTGTATCATACCGATTTTATACCGTTTCATATGGAATGGGGAGATATTATGTACCGTACCGTACCAATAGAGTATGGTATGGTAGTGGTATCAAGTATTTGGTACCGGTCAATACCGTACCGTACCGAATACTGAAATATAATATATTTTTTTTCATTCTCTCACGGTCTCTCGCCTAAAAAAATTCTCCTTTAGATTCTGCTTATGTTAAACTGTTTAGCCTTACAGACATGCACTTGCGTACATGTGCATATGACTTGCAATGTGAGCTTCACTTTCTTAAACAGTACATCTTGAGTTGCATTTTCCAAGTAATCACGACTACAGAATTTGTTTAGTAGTAATTTGACATTTAAATGCCAACTGCAAATGAAATTTGGATTGCATAACTTTCTGTTTTTGTCATTTATGTTTGGATTGTGTTTGTAATTTTGTAAGTCATAAGGTATAATTTTAATTATTTTGGTTTGTAAGCCATAATGCATGAGTTTTAACCATTTGAATTTGATGAATCTGTTGATAGATATTGATTTGGTTGATTTGGATATTGAATATGTTGATGGATGTTGAATATGTTGATTAGGATTTGGATATTAAATATGTTAATTTTGGTACCGATACTGATTTGGCACAGTATGATACGATACCAACTTTAGCAAATGATAATATCATACCGTACCATACCGGTTTTAATTTCCGGTATCGGTAGCGGTACGAGCTCAATACTGTACCATACCGTACCGTGCCCCACCCCAACCCTTGGACACCTTGATTTTCTGTTTTGTGCAATCTTAGCCGCACCCTTATCCAGACTCCTGTTCATTTGAGATCGTACGTAATTCTTAGTCTTAAGAATCATGTATAAAGACAAAATGAGATAATCTAAAGGGACGTTTTTCTTTCCTTATAAATCTAGCCCACCTCCCTTTCCAGACCATGTGCATTTGAGCTCTCCATTGTTTTAGCTTGCTACCCCTTTTCTCCCTTCTTTAGCCCTCACAACTCTCTCTCTCTCTCTCTCTCTCTCTCAAGATGTCTAGCTCCTTCTTCGATGAGCTGCTGCTAGATTTTGGCACAGGCTTTAACAACGCTGGGCAAGACCAGCCAGTGGCCGCTTCTCCAAACCCTAGCGCACTAGAAAGCTCTAATGCTCAAAGTAATGAGAAGTTGCGCAACCTAAAAAAAATCCTGAACTCAAATGTTGATGTAAGTTTTTTTCTTGTATGATAATGTGGTTAACTTGATTACCATATCCAGAACTCTTAAAATTTTTTTTTTCTTTTTTCAGGAACAGACGTCGAAATTAAAATCCCAGTCTTTTGAGCAACCAAAACCATATATTAGAGGGCCAATCATACTCACAGATGCGCTGGTTATGATCCAATATATGTATAGGTTTCAATAGCGATGTTATTTATCATGCGCAGTACTCACAAAGTTTGCTTTTTTATTTCAAGTTACAGGAAGCAACTAGAAGATCACGAGGGCCCACCGTTCCGGCTGGTAAATTACCTAGAGTGTGTTTCAAACTGCCGGAAGCTTTTGATTGGGATGGGCTTGACGCTGAGAAGGTATATACAGCTTTAATCTACATGTGAAGAGAGAGAGAGAGAGAGAGAGAGAGAGAGAGGAAGAAGATGTCGGCTGTCCTAATTTTTTGTATGTGCTTGCCCACAGTTGGTGCCGCCAGAGGCAAACCAGAATCCAAATGCTCAGACCGAACGCAAGTTCTCTTTCTTTCAAAGACTTGAAGGCTGGAGTATTGAGCGGAAATGGAGATCTAATGGAAAAAATTCTGACATGGTAATTTGACTCGTTGATTTGTCGTTCAGATATCGTGCCTAAACTCAATCTTATAGGAAGTATTCAAATCCAACGATCAATTTGTCCATATATGAAGTCCGTCTATGGGGTTTTGGAAACCTTAATTAGTTCATTAATGTTCCTAAAAACCCTACTACATTAATCACATATAGTTCTTGTATAGTTTCTGTTGTAGATATTTAGACTGAGTTTCTGAGAGACAGTCTTTGGGAAGTTGAAACTAACCACCTTTAACTGCATGCTTCTTTCTTTTTCTTGTAATTGGACGTTGGCCGCAGCTTAGTCAACTTATAGATAGATCGAATAAGAGAAGAAACGTGAGCTCGCCAAAAAGGGGAGAAATTTTTGTATGTACCCGGTACACCAGCTGGCTCTTGACAAAAGCCAATTTCCATGGCCAAAATAAAATAAAATAAATCCTTACAATTCCTAGCGGATTATCAGCCTTTCGTTGTCTCCCTCCTATAAGTAATTATAAATTATAAAAGGAACGTGTCATACGGTGGACAGCTTTAGCAACATGTCGTGTGTGATTTTTAGCTACTCCAAAAGGCGATTTGTGACATGTTTAAAATAAAAGTATAGGCTAGGCTCGGAGACTAATTGTATATTTTCTAAAGATACTGAAATGATTCATGCAGTATTACCGGCAGGAAGGAGCAAAATCGACCTTCCGATCTGTTCGTGAAGTCGTGAGATATATCATGTACGAAGAAGAACCAGCCAAGAAGAAAGGAAAAGAACAGAAACAAGTGAGTTAACAACTCAAATACATATTTAAGTTTGTAATATTATGCAACATTTGCTAATTTTGTTCATCGGCAGGGCGAAGATGGGTCTGAGATTAATCATTATAATGGTAGCAGAGTTAGGAAGTCTCATCCAACCAATATGGAAATTGGCTGCCCCAGTCCCCTGATGAATTGTGATGATTTCACCATTGATGATGTTGATATAATCGCTGATGATGAACGCCTTTGTTTTCATCACAATGCTCCTGATCAAGAGTTGCGGGCCAATGCACACTTCACAACTTATGATGATCCAATGGTTGCGGATGGTCAAATCTCTGATCTTGGTGATGACCTGTGTACGATCATCGGGGATCTAAATTCTGATTGGGTGGATGAGAATCTAATGCTGCCCTCATGCGAAAAAAGGTGTTGGCTGTCTCCAACAAAACAAGACAAGATGTAATTAAAGTTTAGTGACTTTTCAAATTTTGAGTTGATGAATCTAATGCTGCCTTTACACTTGTATTTTATTATTATTTTCATCTTTGATTCGTTTAATAGTTTTCTGAATTGTACATGTTTTAAATAATTACAATTTCCATTTGATATACTTTAATGGCATAATAACAGTAATTCCTTTTTTCCTGAAAAGATAATAATAATAATAATAATAATAATAATTCCTTGGTATAATGCACTTGAAGTGTCCTCCTCTAATCCCAACATACAAATGAATGATGCAATTGAAGTGTCCCCCATCCCTGTAAGTAAATCGAAATGACAAAGAAAGAAAGATCTGTGGCACTATATTTTTGACATAATTTTTGGGACATTAGATTACTCCACTTTTAATGGTTGAGATTAAACCTCACATAGTAAGTAGTTTTAATTTTTTAAATAGACAATCATTAATTTTATTTTCTCTCCCATAAAAATAAAAGAAATGATTATCTCTCTACTCCCTTTTTTTTTGGAGACGTAATCCCAGCTGCCTCTTTAATATCAAATATTTAATAAGGTGTAATAAATAAAGAATTTCACCAAAAACTAAAGGCCCAAACCGTGAAGAGTCTCTTCAGTTTCCCCTTCTTCTCGCACATGCATATGCAGCCATCAATTCATCTTCTTTGTCATATTATATCACCAACAAATGCAGTGCAGTAGTGGGTGTTGGAAAAAGTTTAAAGTTAGAATCTCCCTCCGTGAGCATACGCATGTGCCAATTGGTTTTATTTTTTATTTTATTTTTATAATTAAAAAATATAATATACGTATTTATGTTCCTTAAAAATAAGATCTATTATCTGATTTTTTCACAGTGACGGGTATACTTGAAAAATTCCTCCATGCTGGGAAGCACACACAGCCATACATTTAATTTCACACGGTTAGAGTGCGGGGGTGGGGTCCACCATATGCTACGACATTCCAAACATGAAAGCAGCAAAACAGCAAAGCCGCCGACTTTGAAACCACTACCCACCAATCACAAAATCCCAACACACTCTTGCAGCTACTCAACACTGGAAAGAAACATACATGGACAGTCAGGTACGGTTCTTTTTTTAATTTTTTTTAATTTTAATATAGTATAAAATAACAAACCCATCACACCTGCCTAAAAGTTCCAATCAATATAAAGAGGAATGCTAGCAATCTTTTCTCTAACATTCTCCTTTCGACCTTCTCTATTATACATAAATGATTATGGTGTATCTAATCTTCTTTCATTAATTACTATATATTTTCTACACTCACAGTGTTTGTCAGCTCGTTATATAATCAACTTAAATTAGTTAAACTCATCATGCAATGCATTTCCTTCCAATTTTTTGTGATAAACTAATAGATAATTGACTAAATAAACATCCTCCAAAGTTTCAATAAAAAATTTCAAGTTTTTCTTACAATTTTTGTGGTTTTTATTCAATTTTTGTCAATATCGATAATAACCCGATATTTCCATCGAAATTTCCTTTTTTTCGGATTACCGATATTTTCGATACCATAGATATTTTGGACCTTGATTATAACCAATGAATCATGGTATTAATGAAATTTACTCTCTTTTGATAAAAATAAAAACAAAAACTTTGCGTCCCTCAAACAATACCTTTATTTAAAACCCAATGTTAATAGTTGATAGTCATATCCTTTTATACATGTATGCGATACATTAACGAATTTTGCTAAATCTGTAACCTGTTATATTAAAATACACTATCTATTTGAGAATGCACTTGCAATTTGTGGTATCATTCAATAATGATAACTAAACACGAAACTCTAGATTGTAAAGTGTTTTCTTTGCAATTGTGGATTCAAAAAATGATTTGTTAGTCGTGAGTATAGTTCGCAGCTAATGAATTTAATCTTCTTGTTTTCAATTAAGTTTGTTGCTTCATACCTTACTTCCAGTTTTCTTTACATCAGATTGGAAGAGACTACTAAAAAGCTACAGTTTATAAGTTTTTTTTGTGTGGTCAAGAACTCTAGTTTCATTCATCTTGGAAAACAAATACTGAACGGAGGAGTGGACAAGGGTACCCCTCCCAAACACAAGCAAACTAAGGTGGGATCAGGTAGCCTACCCAATTGAGAACGTGCACGAGAGCAAGTGGAGCGATATCTAGTTACAGTTAGATTCACTTGACTCAGATATTGTTGTTACGTTCTCAGAATTGGACAAAATAAATAAAAACACATGAAATAGTTGTATAGCTAGACTCCGCCGTTCATGTCTCTTAAGAATCATGTCTGTTTCTCCCAAAAACAAAATGGGACGTTTTCTCTTTCCTACTTTTGGTATTTTCTTTCTTCTCTTTGGCACGATGTGTGTCTGCCATAACATAACAGTAACACTGCACATGATGTGAAATGAGCCATTGAACAATTACACTCTGTGGAAAAAAAAGTTTCTTAATATCAAGAGGGAGTTATTCCATGACTTAGTTTCGGTGGAGTGTGTTTTTTCCTTGTATTAATCCATTCATCAGAATATAATGAAAATTTAAAAACAAAATGTCGACACTTAAAAAAATTATTAAAGTAGGGAGATTCGAACATATAACCTCGATGGAATAAATATACCATGTGCATTTGAGCTCTTACCTCCATTGGTTTAGCTTTGCTACCCCTTTTCTCCCTTCTTTAGCCCTCACAACTCTCTCTCTCTCTCTCTCTTTCTGTCAAGATGTCTAGCTCCTCAAACAACAACATTTCACTACCATTTTCCATCGTTGATGAGCTGGCACCTGTAGATTTTGGCATAGGCTTTAACAACACTGGGCAAGACCAGCCAGTGGCCGCTTATCCAAACCCTAGCGCACTAGAAAGCTCTAATGCTCAAATTAATGAGAAGTTGCACAAGCTACTCTTCAAAAGCCTGAAAAAAAGTGTTGCTGTAAGTTTGTTTCTTGTATGATAATGTGGTTAACTTGATTACCATATCCAGAACTCTTTAAATTTTTTTCTTTTCTTTTTTCAGGATTCTACGTCTGAATTAAAATCCCAGTCTATTGAGCCACCAAAACCTACTCGAAGGCCAATCATACTCACAGATGCGCCGGTTAAGATCCAATATATAAATCTATAATATATATATATATATATATATGTATAGGCTTCAATAGCCATCTTATTTCAAGTTACAGGAAGCAACTCAGGCTGGTCAATTACAAGATCACAGTACTCACAAAGTTTGCTTTTTTATTTCGAGTTACAGGAAGCAACTAGAAGATCACGAGGGCCCACCGCTCCGGCTGGTCAATTAACTGGAGTGCGTTTCAAACTGCCGGAAGCTTTTGATGGGGATGGTCTTGACGTTGAGAAGGTATATACAGCTTTAATCTACGTGTGAAGAGAGAGAGAGAGAGAGGAAGAAGGTGTACTGTTCTAATTTTTATTATATATTTTTTTCATAGATCTTGACGTCATCGTCTTGATTGGGATGGTGTTGACGTCATCGTCTGCTAAAACAGAATTTGTAATAATTTTTTTTTCATAGATCTGTTTATGGGTTTGGGTCTTAAGCAATAGGATTAAAATGGGCTCTGGGTAATGATATGTTTAGGTGAAAAAAGCTATGCATGCATGCCTAAAAATATAAAGAATCAGAAAAGAAAGCCCAAAATGCATAATTTTCAATTTTTTATTTATTTAAAATTTGTTTTAAGTTATATATATTTTTAATAACCGTATTCATGACATATCGTATCCTAGTTTTTGAAAATTTACAATATCCCTATATCGTATCATATCGTAACACTGTATTCGTATCCGTGTCTGTGCTTTAGGCTTTAATATGTAAAAACTCTGGCCAGGAGTCATGGCATGCATTGATATATTTTTATACATATACACTAACTACTGACATTCATGGCACATGATGAGATAACTAAAAACACTATAGGTGTCTAATAATATATACCTAACAACAATCCATTATTCGTGCCCCTTTAATTACTAGGCACTAATTAATAGTGCATTTAGCAACCCTGATCTTGTGCCACGAATGTCAGTAGCTATAATGTTGTTTTCACATAGTGTTTCTTACATGCTGTTGAATTACAAGTTAGAGTATTTATCTTGACGTTGACAAGGTATATACAGCTTTAATCTGCATGTGAAAAGAGAGAGAGAGAGAGAGAGAGAGAGAGAGAGAGAAGATGTCGGCTGTCCTAATTTTTTGTATGTGGTTGCCTACAGTTGGTGCCGCCAGAGGCAAACCAGAATCCAAATACTCAGACCAAACGCAAGTTCTCTTTCTTTCAAAGACTTGAAGGCTGGAGTATTGAGCGGAAATGGAGATCTAATGGAAAAAATTCTGACATGGTAATTTGACTAGTTGATTTGTCGTTCAGATATCATGCCTAAACTCAATCTTATAGAAAGTATTCAAATCCAACGGATATTTCGACGAAATTTCCATGTTTTTGGACTACTGATATTTCCGATATCATCGATATTTTAGACCATGGTCCTACTATATCACCAACAAGTGTAGTGCTGTATTAGTTCTTGGAAAAGGTTTAAAGTTAGAATCTCACTCCGTGTCATGACTCATACATAACATTTAAGGTGTGAAACGTCCTTCAACTCAATGTCTAAAATATCTATGGTATCAGAAATATCGGTAGTTCAAAAATATGGAAATTTCGATGGAAATATCCGTAAACCACGGAAATTGTAAGAAAAACTTGGAAATTATTATTGAAACTTTGCATGATATTTATTTAGTCAATTATCTATTAGTTTATCACCCAAAAAAAAAGGAAGGAAATGCATTGCATGATGGGTTTAACTGATTTAAATTGATTATATAGCGAGCTGACAAATACTGTAAGTGTAGAAAATATGTAGTAATCAATGAAAGAAGATTAAACACCCCATAATCAATTATATACAATTATTTACTACAATATTTTAAACTTTATACATTACATGGTAAGATACATGACTGACTTAGTACCACAGAGTTCCTCTTTGCGTATTATCACAAAAACATAAGCAACATGATTGTTAAAGCGTTAGAGGAATGGAATGGTAGGGATTCGAATCCCCTTTGTGTGTGTGCTTTGTGTTTTTTTTCTTCCTTTTTTTTCCATTACATCGATATTTTCGATATTATAGTCATATTTTGACAAAATATTGCTGAAGTGTTAGCGAAATTACCGACATGGATATTTTTCGACATTATCGATATTTATACGATATGTGTATGGATAAGTTTTGAAATATCCGTGACTCGGAAAAACGTTATTATCCTCGATATTTGGTCTAAATTATCGATATTTTAGACTATATATCTCTTTTTTTTTCCATCAATATTTGATAGAATTTGTAAAAATTATATGGACTATATTCATACATACATCTTTCGCGTACCGAAATACGAGACCCATTTTATAGATGAGTTCTGTTCGTACTAGAATGAAATATTTTCTGGTGAGTGAGCTTAGCTCACTCCCCATATATGAACGCGGCGGTGAAAGCCTTGAAATTCAGCAGCGCCTTCCGGAGCAAATACAGCGTCGTTTTGCAAGTCAAAATGAAAACTTTCTCGTTGTAGGCCCGAGACGCCTCGCATCCAAACCGGTTCCCAGCTCCCGCTTCGTTGAAGTAGGGCTCCTTGTTGAGAACCAGGCCTTGGATCGACACCAAAACCTGGAGGATCATCGACTGAGATAGGTCCCACCTTTCCTGCCCTTTTCCTGGTCATGTGTTGAACACGCTAAGGTAGACATACCTGCTTGCGTAGAGGTTCGGGTTGGGCCTCAGTCCGAATGAGTGGTAGTGGACCTTGGGCGGGCGGGTCGAGTAATCAAAGGGGAAGGTGATGTCCAAGAAGAAGAGCGTGTCGTGGTAGGGCGTGCCGAAGGCTCCGACAACGACGACCCCGAGGAGGTCGATGCAGGTCTCGTAGGCTCGCACGTAGATGGAATCCCGGAGGTACTTCTCCAGAATCTTCCATTCCTGCATGATCTTCTTCCGGACCCAGCCGCCGCCGCCGCAGCCATTTTTGTTGTTGACGTAGTGGTGGTCTGAGTGGTCGGAAAAGACGTCGAATCGCTTGAATACGTTGGGCTTCGACGTCATCATCTTTGGCGTCACAGAAGAAGCAGAAGATGGGGCCATCATCGTTCCGTTTTCTTTCAATACTCTTTGGTGATTGGACGAACTGTGGACTGTTGTGACTGTGCTTTCAATTTTTTTTTTCCTATGCAACTGTGCTTTCATTGATACCAAAAACAAAATAAACGAAATAGTCAAGGCTGCGGGGCCACTCAGATTATGGACATAACAGACGGTGATTAGAGTTTTTCGTCTGATTAGGGTAAACAAGTAATGAGTTGAGAATAAGTTGGTAATCTGCTAACTAATGGATTAGGTTGGCCTGGCCTAGTGCCAAGTGACTTGTGGTGAGTGGCTTTGGCTTAATAGTTTTGTTTTGTGCGTGTTTTTGACGTGGGGAAGAATTTAAGCAAATTCCTAAAAAGTATTGCTTATGTTGTACATTAATTACTACTCCTTAGATACTGTCCTGATTTTGATCAGGAGATCCTTCACTTCAACATGTAACAAAGTGAGAAAAAGTGAGTTTTAATCAATGATTTGCAATTTGACAAGTTCTTGAAACATGCAAAATCTTTGGATGAATCTTTAATCCAAAAGAAAATGGGGGAATATGGAAAGTAGAAGCAGCCAACTTGGCAAAGAACAGCGACATAAAACAAAGATTAATGCAATCTTAACACAAGTACATGATAAACACCAAAAAGATACCAGCATTCCTCAAAGTCAAAAGGGTGGATTGTTTAGGCGTTTTTGATGAGGCTCCAAGTTGGGTTGGGACTTCTTTGGTGGATGATTTGTTAGGGGTGTCTAGGCCCCGCTTGATTTGTGTTGGTTAGTTTGTTTTGTTTGTTTGGGGTTTTCCCCCCAATTCACCACACACGCAAAAATAAACAAAATAAATAAAAAAGGGTGGATTGTTTTGTTGGGGCAAAGGTGAAAAAACCAATACTCACAACCATAGTCTAAAATATCGATAATATCGACGAAATATCAAGGATATTATCGTTCTTTCAGATCATGGATATTTCGGAACGTATCCATACACATATTGTATAAATATCGATAATATTGGAAAATATTGATATCAATAATTTCGCTCACACTTCAGCAATATTTTGTCAAAATATCGCTATAATATCGATGTAATGAAAAGAAGGAAAAAAAAACATAAAGCACACACGCAAGGGGGATTCGAACCCCTACCATTTCACTACTCCAATGCCTTAACCACCATGTTACTTACGTTCTATGTGGTACTATGTGTCACGGCCCGCATGTTCAAGGCCCAGCCCGTCTGATTGATCATGCTAGACCTCTTAGCCCATATGTCTAGATTTATTGTACAATAGTAAATAGACTACGGTTGGTAACAGTAATTGGTAGATGCCGGTAGGTGACATTGTATCTTAGCCACCTACTGTGGTAGTAGGTGGGATTGGAACAGTATATAAGGAGGATGTCACATTGTGTATCATCACCTCACAACTTGTAAAGCATTTGAGTAGCAATACAAGCATATATTCTCCCAAACTTTCTTAAGCATTCTTATCTTTCTTGCTCTTGCGAAAGTTCTTGCTTGGTTCGATCTTGTGTTGTAGGAAGGAGGCTGACTTAGCTTGTTCAAGAGGCAATCAAGTCTAACGCCGCACGAAAGAAGACTCCGAAAAAGTCATCCTGTGACAGTTGGTATCAGAGTGAAAGCTCGAATCATTCAAAGAAGCCTGTCGAAGAGCAGATCCGATATGGAGACAAATATGTCCATGGTCAACTTGGAATGTGGGGGCTAATCAAAGAGGGAACGATCTAGAGATGTGATAGCCGTGATGGAGAAACGGCTTTCTAAGATGGAGAATGTCGTGGTCAAGTTCGATCAGCGACACGAGGAGGACGTCCTTACGAAGGTGGGCTTTGAAACTATGGTGGATGAGCTTTAAGGCCAATTCCAGGGAGCCCTCAACTCCGCGATAGACAGCATCAAGCTAGATGTCCAAACCAAGCTGGATCACTTCTTAGCGGAGCTTACTTCGCTTCGTGATGAGGTGAAGGATGTGAAGGGAGATTGGGCCTTGTGCAAGGAAGCAGTCTTGAACAAGACCAGTACTCCAAAAGAACCTAAGGTGTTAGATTCTTTCAAGCCCAAATCCTATCATGGGAAGAGGGAGGCAAAGGAGCTGGACACGTTTTTATGGAATATCAAAAGGTATTTCAAGTATCTGAAGCACGAGGATGATGAGCCCAAGATCAATACGGCAACGTTGTTTCTCACCGACAATGCTATCATGTGGTGGCGTCATCCATCCATGGAGATCGAACAAGGTACGTTTACACTTGAGACTTGGGATGAATTTAAGAAGGATATTATGTTGCATTTCTATCCATTGAATGCTAAGTATGAGGCAAAAAAGAAGCTGAGATGGCTAAAGCAAACGGGGAGCGTGAAGAACTATGTCGCCACATTCACTAACCTATTGCTCGAGGTACCTAGCATGACGGATGAAGATAAGCTCATGTACTTCATGAGTGGCCTACAAAATTGGGCCAAGCTAGAGTTACAAATGAGACACGTCCAAACCTTGTCAGAGGCAATTGCTGCAGCTAAGTCTTTTGTTGAGTTCAAGAAGAAGGATCAAGGCGACTCCAAGTTCAAAGGAAAGAAAGATGGCAGTGGATCCAGTGGGGGAGACAACAAGCCAAAAGAGGGTAGCAAGTCAGGAGACAAGTCTGAGGGTCACAAGTCCTCTGGGAAGTATAATGACAAAGGTGACAGGGGGAAAGACAAGTCAAAGCTAGCTTGCTACTTGTGCGATGGAGCGCACATGATGCGAGATTGTTAGCAAAAGAAAGCTCTAAATGCTATGAACCAAGAGAAGGAAAATGAGGCCGACAGGGAAGCAAGAATGGGGGCCATTCACAGGACCTGCCCCGAAATTCCTCAAAAATCGGGACGAATCCCGTCTTGTCACCGACATCACCCCGATGCTGGGCCTACTTACTAAAAACCAAGACTTTCTACCAAAATTTTGTCAGAGTCTCCCCTGTAAATTGAACAATCCCAACACATTTCAACATGCATAACAAACACAATATAATCCCAACCAGCAGCATGCATTCAACATTCAACAATATACACACAAGTATAAATTAACATGGGCTATAATAGAGCATCTAACGGATTTAGTTTACAAGAACATCCAGTTGAGTAAAAAGAAATTACTCGAAGCCTAATCTACTGATGTTCACGATTCGGGGCTTCGAACTCGGCTTGCAACTCTCCTTGAGCGACTACTATCTGGGGGGCACAAAATAGAAAACATGTGAGTGGACAAAAACAAAGTTTGCATTCAAAACAACATAATAACCCCACCGTGTAAAAATAAAGCTCAACATACAGATTCATAGCTTTTATTTAATGATCAAAAACATCATTCTATGAAACCCTTTGAACTCAATCACTGTACCCATAACCTTTATTCACAGAATTTCATACAGCTCTTACCAACCCACTTTATATACCTTAAGTGATTAAAACTCACACACACACACACACACATATATATATATATATTTATATTTATATAAATATACAAATATACATAATATTTATCACACTACTTAGGTACCGGGGAAACAATCCAATCGGGGGATTGCTTGGCTAGACCGCATGATTTCCTGTTGCTATCCTGCATCTAAGGATGAGCGGTCCAACCGGGGGACGAAACTCCATAGCTCACATGCTGAAAAATCCAACGCCATGTGTAGCTCTAATACTAAGTCCTACGCGCACAGACTACATCATCACATGCCGGAAATTCCAACACCACGTGTGATGATTCATAACAATTCACAAGGTCTCACACACCGGAAATTCTAATGCCACGTGTGGGAAGCCTAGTAACTAAGGAATGGTACTTACATAATGTAATTAAACATCTTCCCACAATAACCCATCATACCCAACTCTCAAATCCCCTAAATTCAACTTCAAATTTCCAATCAAAATCACATTCTCAATTTAATATTACTAATATGTAACAACCCGGTCCTTAATTAATATTTAATTATTAATTTATTCCAGTAAAATATCACTATACCCCTAGAATATTTTAATGATTTAAAAGTTGACTTTTTGACCGGGAAGGAATTTGGGGATTTCAATTGTACCATTGCGTAGAGCGCAGCGGGATGAGTCCGTAGACACGTAGTGGACTCAAATCGGAGTTGTAACGAAGGAGTTACAATTAAAAGGAGTTGTAACGAGGGAGTCACGACCAGCCGACTTTGGGAGCTGTTTTCTCTCATATCCGACCTCTGATTCAGGCAAGACTAGTTCCAAATGAACCACGAAACTTCCCTCTTCCAGCCCCAGCAATTTACCGCCTTGATCCGCTGCCATAGTCGCCGGAAACATCCACGAAACAGGCGGTGCTGGACAGTTTTTGACAGAACTTCCAAATCGGACTAGTGAGGTATGGTTTTCTAGCTATTTTTCATGCTCTAGCTGCTGGTTGGGTAGGATTTCAGAAATTTCAAGTGTAGATAGCTCAATTTACGAGTTAGGTTTCAGCCAATTTTGAGAGCACAGTTTCGGCCAATTCCGGCCACTTTTTGGGGTATGTACAAGAACAAAAGTTGTTCCAAATGGGGTGTTTTACCTAAGTTAGAAGTTTGGGCCGGCGGTTAGGAGTTTTTCTGGTCACCGAAAATTGATCAAGCCACCCATGCGCTGCCCGCATGTGGCCAGTTTGGTGGAGATCACATTCAGTTTTAGAATGATCCTTGTGTCGTCACGAGCGCGTAGGATTTCGCATATCTCAATTTGGTTAACGTTTGAACCCCTAACGGACCTTGCATCTTGTGTGATTTCCGGGTTCAATAGTTTTGCACCGTCGGATCGTAATCATTTTCAGATAGGTTAATCTAAACGTTCCCAGGATCGTATAGTATTTGACGGGTCCTAAAACGAAGTCCCGGATACTCCAGGAATGCCAACCCTAGAACCAGATTTACAGTAAACAATTCAGTTACATATCAGGAACAGAAGAAAGGATTACGTGTGGCTTGAT